GCGATCTTTAATAACTAATGTCATATTTTTTATGCATGCATAATATAGCTACATAAATATTATTATACATGGAGATTTAGTTTTTTTACCAATTCTATTTTTTTTTAAAACTTTTTGAAGTTTTCAAGTAAAAACAATTGTAAATTCCGGGGTACATTGTATTTTTATAACGATAAAAGTAATAACTGCTGGTTACTATATTATTACAATGGTTACAGAGTATCGCATCCATACGAGTCAGCATTAATAAATCAATAGTTTAATAATGCCATTGGTCATTATTAATACAGTGATTAAAACTCAACAAGCTGAGTGAAATATTTGTCATGTTGTTGTATGTTGTAGTAGATACACATATCATATTAAAAAGTGAAACAATTAAGAATAGCTAATATTATTTACTGTTACGTTTATGGTTATAGAGTTTTTTTACGAGTGATATTTTGAACCGTACAGTATAAAATACTATATTATTATTACGAATAATAATAGACATTTGTCTATTTTAACGTGAGAACTCCAATATGTCGGAGAGCAGTGATCAGTGGCATTGTTAGGTCTGGTATTTTATACTGTATGGCTGTTTTTTTACGGAGAACGTGGGGAACGCATAATGTGGGTCACGTGACCATCGAGTTCCGTTAATATCGTGTGGTTGGATGGTTACACACGTAAACAGCCTCACGTAGAATTTCTCCGGACACATTCCACTCTAATCCGCTTTCTCTCCAACTTTGAATCTCCTTAATACAGTGTAAACTCGATGGGCATTTCAAGATTTTGTTTTCGTATCGACGAAAATCCACATTTAAGAGCTATATCAGAAGGTCCAGTGTTCGCAAAAGAATTAAAAAAAAAAACAGTAATAACACTACTATAATGCTGTATAAATTAGTCACAAACGAGAAAAAAAATTCTCTCAATTAAACGTCTAACTTGACAAAAAAATTATATTGGCAAAACATATTTACAAAAAAATCATACTCGAATTAGCTGCGTGAATCATAAACCGTTTCACACGGCCAATTCGAGCTGTTCAACAAACACCGCCGTTAATGAATCGTATTGATTTGTTTTCGAGGTAAAATCAAATACATTTTGGTGTCTGAATGTAACATTTTACTTTGAGTCCATAGACAACAATTTTTTCAAGTATTTTCAAAGTAATATTATGTTTTTGTTGCACCGGATAGGTGTTCACAGTTGTTTAAAAAATCGAGTTATTTTTCCTTAAAAGTACAACAGGCAGATTTACAAACATACACATTTCTCCAATGAAAAATAATTATTTCTTTCTATACGAGATTCCTCATTGAGGCCCAGTATTTATTTATTTATTTGCAACTAATACATAAATATATATTAGTATTTAGAGTTTGTTAATTTTAATAGAAAAAGACAAAGACAAATAGTTAATATGGAAAATGTATTTCACATTGATATCAAAGAAAATGCATTTTTTTCCTATCACTGACTTGTCATATTCTTACATGCCCAAGAAAACATCAAAGCAATTTGTTTTTGTTACGCATAACATATAAAAAAACACATCATTGTAAAACGCTATACATTTTCAGCCTCACGTCAAACAGAAAAAAATATTTACCACGCTTCTAATAGGTTAACCAATCGGGTTAAGAGTGTAAAAACTTAATAAAAAAATATGTTACGCGTTAGATATTTACAAAGTTAGTTAGCAATTAGTAGGACAGATGTACATTAAATCAAAATTAAATAAACAATTTTTTACCGCTTATTCTATAGTATGTTATTCTAGACAAAAAGTTAGGGATTAAAAAACATTAAAAAAAAAAAACATCTCTTTATAATGTTAAAAAGTGTAATAGAGTGGTATCATTTTATGACACTCGTATAATATAACATTTACTAATGTGTAATCATTATTTTTATCCTGATGAGAAAAAATAATCTTCAGATATATCTTCGCTCATTTATGTTTTTTTTTTTTATTCAATAATTAAATATTATTACTCATCACCTCTTACGTAGGTATATGCAGTGCAGCATTGTAATTTAGTTTTAATACAAACACTTATGTGCTTATGTACCAAGCATCAACTTCACAGTAACGTTACATTTTGTATTCTATAATGGAAACGGACTGTGCGTGGTATCTTTAATAAAATTATAATTCACTTTTCTAGCTGGAAAACTTTCTCTTTCTTTTCCTCCTTGTCGAGTGAAACACAGATCCGGGTCCGTCGTATTTACAAAAAATATTCCGTTTCTTCGCTATACCAGCTCCGACTTTCATATTTTCAAACGTATTCGATTTGTTGATTGGAAAACCTGTGACTTACAATTACCACTATATTAATTATATAATATATACAAATAGATTGTATACAGTGGTTATATTTTTGAGAATACAGAAATACTAGATTAAGTTTAAAAAAATAGGTCACCAACAAAAAAATTAAAGCATTTTGTAAAATTGTTGAACTTGGTAGTTTTTATCAATTAAACTAGTACACGAAAGAATAAGGCTATACTACTATACTAATACGGCTATATTACTATTTATATTCCTGTATAAAATATATTTTTTTACCAATAACAATTTAATAATATTGTAGATAAAAATATTTGTTTTTGTTTAAAACTAACTACATTCTTCTATGATCGTTCTTATTTGCCTGGGTTAACATTTAAGTAAATTGTAGCCTATAAATGTAATAATTATACTTTATTTTGAAGCTCAACTGTTGAGAACGGCCATAAATTATTATTATCGATAAAAAAACAATTTTAATATTTATACTGATCGAACAAATTTTTCAAAAAGAACAATAACTATTGTATTTATTATCTATACATGTATTTGTGTATTTATTATTGTTGGTGATTTACAATAATTATTGTAACGTTACCGAACAAAATAAACGTTACATTACAAAGTAGTTATTAACGATAAAATTTTGTGTGGAACGTTAGAATTAAAAATAAGTGAACAAACTCTGTGTACATATAAAGATATTAAAAATGAAAAAAAAAAAAAAATTATATACAAAACGGTTTTTTATGCGTTCATATGATTGGTAACTTCAAAATCGAATTTATGTAGTTTTCTTTTTGTATTTTAAAAGGGGTTGTCTGTAATAATATTATGTCAGAACTTGTGTTAACTGTTTTAATAGTTTTTTCGATCCTCTCACGCGGAGCGGTTTTTAAGTTTTTATTTTATAGGTACTCGTCGATTGTAATAATATATTACATGAGGCGGTGTTTGTGTTATTATTATTATTATTTTAGTCGAGACACGGCCACACTATTTGGACCGTCTAAACTGTAAATTAGGCTGAATACATCGGTTAAGACAATCCATCAAGAACTTTTAGGGCTTGGTCCGTGTAATTACAAGTTTGACCAGAATTCGTGTCCTTGATGCGCTCGTGTGTGTGAATGGATACGACCGTCGGAATGCTACGGCCAAGGTTGTGTTGACCCACAATGAGAACAACGACTGCGTTGCCCGTGTATGGTCACCAATCTCTCCTGCTCCTCTCCCGTCCACCGGTTGCTCTGTCAGGGGGGGGAAATGATCCGCGGCGGCCTCCAGACTACTTTCCATCGATGCCGGCGCACTTTCTTCTCTACAACCGTCTATAAACCGCGGCCGTATAAAAACTTTACCGACACTGATGCGCGGCCATCGCACCTGTGCGCGCCCACCACGAAATGTAGTTCCACGCCCGGTCCGTATGTAATTTCTACAGGCACCTATACTGCAGTACATTGTACATTGTGTGTCTATATTAATAACACACAGCCTCCGTTGGCCGTGGCAAAGTACAACAACAACAACATAGAAATCAGGAATATTAAAATATTTTCTTTAAATAGCCCGGATCGGATCCAGATGAACTTGGTTATGTTTATTATACTTATATACTATGTAAACCGTGTTGTACACCAGTCAAAAGACTATTGTAATAATTAACGACTAGAGTACCTGTGTTGTACGATACTCGATAAGTCTTATTTGGCAAATATCGTCCAACATCACATATACCATTGTCTTACTATTTTATAAAATTAGATAATACAATTATTTTTTTTTTATCGACATTTAAGCAAAATAGAAAACAAACATTTACAAAAGAAATTCACAAAATATAATCCTCATATGTATAGGTGTAGATGTACGCATAGAACTATTATTTAAGAAAATTACTAATTGTGGTAAATAAAAGCATACAAAATATGAACTCGGCACGAGAATAAATTTAAGTGATGAAAACCAAATTAAACAATAGAGAGTTTTTTTATAATTAAGGGAACAAAATATTATCATTTATGTGAAACAATAAACCTTGTTTTAAATTTTTGATTATACAATTTTTTTATAAAACAGTTTTTTTAAAACCTGTTTAACTTGCGTTAATCTGCAATTATACAATACATTTGTAATATTTGTATTGTTCCATTTCAACTCGGTTGTTTTTAGTTATTTAAATTGTTTTATAATCGCTTAACACCAAGCTCATACAACTAAAATAAAACAAACAATAAGTGTATACTGAATGAAAAGGAAACTGTTTACTGAAAAACAAAACACATATACATACTACCAAGTACGTGTATTTTGAGAGGTTTCGAAACAATAATTGAGCACACGGTGGTAATGAATGACAATACTGTCCAAATGTTGTGACTTATGAATGAACTAAAAAAACATGCACATTTACATTAGAAAAATAAAAACTCATAAATCGGTTCTGAAATCTTTTGTACGATTCAGTCAACAAGACACGAAGATAAAAAAAAAAACAAATGGGTACACAACTTCTTAGGTATCGAAGATGACTGTTTTAAGGGGAAGACGTCTCGGTATTGTTCTGGAATCGACATTTGATTCAATTGTCTGCGAAAACAAAAATAAAAAACCTAATAGTTCACACACGAGCTGACTAGGCATTTGTTACGATTTATTAATAAAAGACATGTAAATATTCTGTTCAGTCTTCGTTGAGATTTTACTCAGTGGTCATGTAATTTTGAATTATGGCTAACAAAATAGTTTGTGTTGAAACTGCTTTAATTTTAACATCTGTACTCGTTCATCACATTAACGGAAAGACTGTGACAAACTCCACTAAGGTTAAACCAAAAGGCTTATTAGAAGGTAATCAATTTTCTTACTTAACCCGTTAAATAAAAATAATCCATTAAATTATGATATTTTTAAGGCGTTAAAAGTTGATAAATCAACATACGTTTTTAGAAAATTATTCCTAATAAATTTATAATTGAATGCATAATTTTTGGAAATTGAATTAGAGTAGTACATTCTTTGTTCATTTCAAACTATTTTCATAATATTATTTATTTAAAAATATAAATATTTAATTACACGATCATTCATTTTAATTAGTTTAATCACGTTTTTTTAAATCTTCCGAATTTTTTTAATTTAGTGCAACAACACATTTTTTTCTATTTATAAAACTTTCAAAGTTATTTTTCTCTGAGTTGACGAAAGTTTGATAAAAAATTGCTTTTGTAGAAGTCATTTTCCAGCGTATCTATTGGGTTGATTTCAATTTTTATTTTGTTTATGAGAAGCTTATTATTTTCTCTATGGGGGTAAAAGACCGATTTTTTATTTAGCTATTAGAAAATAAATTAGATTTATTAGAAAAAAACTATAAAAAGTAAAAATATAAACGTTTATAATAAAATTAAAAAATCAGAAATAAAAAAATCGGTCTTTTAGCCCTTATAGAGAAGATGTCAAACTTTATAACAAAATATGTGTTTTGAAATCGGTTCTGTAGACACTTCAGAATGTTTTAGTCTTCATTTGTATAACATTTGACTCTTTCCGTTCCCCTTAATATACTTATTTGGTAAAATTAAATATTTTAGCTAACTTATATTTTGTTCATTAGGTATATTTTATACACGAGCTGTAAATATTTAGTATCTTATTATTTTATAAAAATTGTACAGGATACTAAGCCCCTAAAATGTATACCCTTTTACTGAAATACACACGAGCGTCTTATGTTGCCTACGTATTGGTTTTACGTCATTGGTTTAAGACAAGTTTAAAAATATTAAATAGTTGAAACTATACCTTGAGCGCTTTCTAGCGTACAACACAGTAATTAAGCTGGTTCCTAGTATACAAGTCATTTAGCTCACTGTAATTTATTTTTACCAACTTTAGGTGAATAAACTTATCGTTTTGTATTTGACTGTTATTATTAGAAAGTATTAATCGTTATATTTAAACTAATACTAGTATAATTTTTATGAGTATAATAATATTAGTTTTTTAGTTCAGTTAAATATTGTTCATTTTCTACTTTCCAAATTGTTTCAGATGAATTTGACGGTATGCCACTTCCAGAAAGTTTAAGTTCCCCGGGAACTTCAGAAGCTCAGAGTACTCAACCTGTTAAGAACACTGCACAGTTAATGTACAGCGTACCTATAAAACAGCTACAACCAGTGGAAAGCTACAAAATAAAAAAGCCCGGTATTAAAAATTAATTTTCATATTTTAATAGTAAATAAATATGGAAAACAAGAAATAAAGCTTAGGCTGGTCCGTATCCAGTATGTCCCGATTATTACTACATAAGCAATTAGATATTTTAACGATACAATCTCTTATAAAATTAGGATTAATTAAACTGTTGTTTATCTACTCTGGTTTTGGATATTTTATTGTAAGACAGCATTAACATTATTTTTTTAGACTATTTAGAATCCACTAACCTAACACTCAATTTTTATTCATAGATGTTTTTAAATATTTATTCTCAATCAAATAAAATTGTTTGGGCCACATACCACACAATTTTGATATCCCATTATTACACACATAGCACGTAATGTCTCTCTGTTTAATCATTTTGGTAAAGCTATCATTTTAATAAAATACATACACGTTACACTTAAAATACCCTAAAATGACATAATGCATTTATTAAAAGAACTAAAAAAAATATTAGGTATGAGTTATTGTGAGCTCAGAATAACTAAACTTGTAGTTAATATCAGATGACCACTATGTTTTTTAAAATTAATTGCAGTACACCATAAAACTAAAAGTAATAAAATTATTTTTCTATGAAAGCTATAGTATATAATACAGCTATAGCTACATTTATTTTAGTCAACTGGCAATTTAAGGTCATCATTCCTCACTGTCTCCTTAAAGAAGTAAGTAGTTAACTTTCGCCATTTCAGGGTAAAGAAATTTTATTTTTTGGTTAACTATGTTTAGACACTACATTTAGTAGACATCCATGGACATTTTTTATTTATAAAAACTATTATACGTTTTTCAGAAAATACGATTACGTTTAATGTTTGGCTGATACTATTCTCTAGGTTCTATAAATTATGAAACATAATTTAACCAAGCAAAAAATGTATTTTTAATGTGAGAGAAAGCATTACATATTTTAAATACGGCGTTTCGCATAGGCAATCCACTATTATTTTTACGGTAACGATCTTAATAGGTTTGTTTTTTGCTAAAATATGATAGCTATAGGATAAAAATTAAGGATACAGAATCTACCATGGATGTGTACTAAATCTGTATAATGTTTTATCGACTATTATGTTGCAATTAATTATCAATTAAATGATTAGTTATAAAAAAAAACTAATAACAACAAAAAAAAAAGTGAGCACTTTAAAGTATGCAATTAAATATTATAGTAATTGGTAACCCTTTTATTTCTATTAAAATACATTATAAATATTTTTAAAATAATTCAAATGAATAAATGTAGAACTGTATAACTATAATAACATTACAAAAGTTTTTTACCTATCTTACATTTACGATATTAGTTAAAATAATAATTTCATAATTTAACTTATTTAAAAAAAAAATATCAAATTTGAAAATTTTAATTGTCCGTCAAATTAGTATCTGATAAATCCAGATATTCCAAACATTACTGAATATTAAAACATTTTACAATAAGTATATATTGTGGCAACATTATTATTTTTATAAGCTACCAATATTTGTATCGGGTGTCCAAGTTTCGCAGAATAATAATATAAGGATAAATATAATACTTTATGTGAACTCAGAGTATTGTTTACATAATTGTCCAGAATACATTTTTATTTAAACAATTCTGAAGTAGTCATCGTGACTGAATAAACTGGCATGATCGCCAGATACTACTGCACAGGCTAATAATCCTTACCCGGATCTGGAAAAATAAGTATTAAATTGAATGAAGTTTGTATAAGGATTGTTTAACATGCTTACATGGATTACAGTTACACCTATATTTATAAATTGTCTTTGCTAACGTTTCGGAAGCTTTTCATCTTCCATCTTCAGGGCTGTGTTGTGTGCTGGTTACGGGTTGTTATTGTCGTTCAACGCCAATGGCTTCATCCGTCCTGTCGTTTCCTTCCCTACCTATAGACTCTTCTCCCCTTCCACCCCATTCTTTTTGTGTAGTGGGTTTTCACCCCTCAAAAGTCGAGTAACCACTTGAATGATAAACTTCATAATTGTTACATAAAACGTTGATAAGATAGTAAGATACTTGGGGTTGGAGCTTAGTATATTATTCTGTAGTATAAAATATGATAATTATACATTTTATTAGTTATCACTATCAATATTAATTTTCTTAATGACTTTATGTTTATTTGTAAAATAGCCACTAGCCTTATTGTTATAATATATTTAAATGTTTCTTGATATTATATTATTTTGATTATTTTTGAACTTTTATAATTAACTATAGAACGATCATAAAACATAGGTTTTCACTAATTATTAACAAAATTAATTATTAGATTTCCACCGGTAATTTCCAACAGTATAACGAATAAGCAATGTCAAATTCGTATTTGTCGATAGTACACCTATTGCTGTGTTTTTCTGCGACATCGAAGGGTTGAATAATGACCGTTTCGGTTAAGGCGTGGGGTTTGATCTCTCGAAACAAATATTATAATAATATACTTTGACATTCCATATCAATATCTGCTTTTACCGTGTTCGCAGGTAAGGACGACGACGGTTTCTTCGGAGATATTATGGGCGCTACCCTCATGTCCGGCGGCACTCTGTTATCGCTAGGCACTTTCGCGCTAATCGCCATGGCGGGCAAAGCTTTCATGTTGGCCGTCGGCGCGATAGTCATGACGTTGCTCAGTACGGGCTGGTTGACACACGGCGGTGACCACAAAGCAAGCTCCAGCACCGTCTACGAAGTGATAGCCAAGCCGTACGTGTCGCACGGCCACAGTTATTCGGCCGAAGTACACCACGAACCGTACTCGCCGACATCGCCGACATCCGCACAGGACCCGCAGGACCCGTACAACAATAACTACAGCGGTGGCTATTGACAATCGTTTGGCTTACAAATGACTATTTAATGTAAAAAATACACGATAATACATATTTTATAATCGTCTGTCGGTCAAAACGACAATGCTCGACGACCGTTTTGTACTTCGGACGCGCGACGGTCCCATACGCACATTGTCGCCTATATATATATATATATTTATAACAATATAATACTAATAATTTATTTTAGAATAATAATAAAAATACCGGATCAATCGGTCGTTAAACGTATCTATCTTTTTTTTAGCGCATTCCCCACGAATATAAAACGCAATCTATTGTGTTTTGTGTCGCAGCAAATATCATCACGCCTGATCATGACCGCTCGACGGGTCGGATTTCGCGTTTTCGGTTTGTCCGACTTTGAAAGAAAAAACAATTTCGGACTTGACCGCGCTCTTCGTTTATAGTTGCTCGGCGGGACTGCGAAAATCGCATTGGAGAGATAAACGATCCATTAGGCGTTGCACAGTGGTTGTTTAGAACGAATAGTCAGGTGTGCATATTATAACCAACAGTGCCCGTCGAACAGCACGATCCATCCGGGTCACTAAACGGCAATGATTCGCCGAGCATTATGTGTAGTTCAGCAATAATAGTAGCAGCTGTGTATTATCATTATTACAATACACCGCTGCGGCGTGACCGACTAATATTCGTCTGCATATTCGAATATGTAAACAATGTTATTAAATATTAATATTATTATTATTTACTTTATTAGACTGCCGGTTCTTCCAGGCACAGCGCCTAGGCCTCAACAGAAAACTTAGGGCACGCGACTAACGATAGTAAGACAGCTGTTAAATCTCGTGGTCTGTTATAATTACAATATTTTTTACAAAAACTAAAAAATGCATTTAGAAAAATAATTTTTTCTACACTTCTAAATTGGTGGCATTTTAAAAAATGTTTTGAATATAATGACAACAGATATTTTTTAGTTTACCAACCCCATTAGACATTAAATTAACTAAACTAAATTTTAGATGGAAATTATATTTGTCAACTATAAAATGTTGTTGCCACTATTGATTTCACTATGTGGAAAACAATATATTTTTAACATATTATTTCATCTTTGAATGTAAGTGCCAGCATAAGTGTTATGTTCGTTTTGGATGGGTACATTTTTTTTAAAAAGAGGACAATATGATTTAGTCGGAGTCGCCAAAATATTAAACTAATAACAGGCACGGAAAATTAATGTAATCCACAGAAAACAAAGCCGCGATTAATACATTTTTTTAAAATAAATTTAAAAAAAAAATTTAAATAACAATACATTTTTTTTGTTGAACCACAGAAAATGTATTCATTATTAAAATAAATGTAAAAAGTGTAAATCCTGTAATTATAAATATAAACGTACATTTTCACGAATAATTTTTTAAATAATAATAATTTTTAGACTACTGTAGCTATTGTTAATATTAGTCTTTAACTATCTAGTTTTTTTAATTGGAAAACATTTTTAAAATTTTTATTTTTAGCAGGTATTAAAGTTAGTTGGTTCTTTGTAAATAATTTCAAATTTATGTGTTGAGTAGTAAACACTGTATATAGTATTTTTGAAAAACTATACCGAGTTAAGGCCCTACGATAAAGAGCCTACCGGAATTTGCCCAGAATCCCGGTGAGCCTATGCTTTGGAGTTTATAATTGAATCATTCAAACAGTTTATACATATATTCACTTATAGCCTCAAACAAACATCAACCCCATTATTGTATATTTTTAAGAACAATTCTCAAGTCTAATATTGTCCAATCATTATAGTCTGTTCTTTTTTGTGGAACACAATTTCGCACCAGTTGGTTTCAAATCAAATCAATACAATTAAATGATGACCATTTAAGTATAAATTAAAACTTTATAACAGCAATATTTCCCAACGCCAAAGGTCATTTAGCAAACGGGAGTATCTATAGTATTTTAAATATCATCATTTTGTTTAGACATCCGGCTAACAGCAATTAAAGAAATGTTAAAAAACTTCCGTTAATATTATTTTTTAATGCTTAGAGGTACGTGACGGATTATTGTTTTCGCGTTTTTTTTAAACGTAACCTCAATATTATACATGTTTTCTCTCTCTCCACGGTTTGTTGAAATGATTCTTAACAACTTTTATTGTATTTAATATGTTTAATAACTAATGCAACCCCAACTTTCCCCTAACTTTTTATAAACATATTTTTAGTTTGGAAATTTTCAATATAAATTATCTCATTTGGTATTTGATATTTGTACTCAAATCGACGAATAACCACCTCAAGATAATGTTTATAAACACACGAAAAAAAATATCTAGTGGGTTCAAATAAAATTATGGTTAATAAATGAAAGTAAATAAACTAACATTTAGTTGACCCAACTATTTATTTAGTTATTCCAACTAGAAATGTATTGTGTTCCTATATTAACCATAATTTTAGTTGTACTAACTATGGATTTTTTTCGGTGCAGTAATTGACTTATACAATTTTGCCTAGATAACTTTAAGTGGTGTAATATCAAAACTGAGCGCCTCTAAAATTACATTGTTATAAAAATACAATGGTTTAGAAACTATGTAAAAAAAAAACCGAGTTCCGGTAATATCTTTAAGATATAGATGGTGAACTAGGCGAAATGTTCTGATGTATCATAACTCTTTGACCAGTTTTGTACTGTGTAAACTGATACTTCACATTTAACACCTTTTAAAAGTATAATAATTGTATTATAACCGTCGTTGATATAGTCTAAGAAAATAATTGTAGAAACGTGACAAGCAACACTCCACTCAGCTAGTAAACAAGCATATTTCACCTATTAAATTGACTAGTAATGTAACAAACTCTATCGTAGTAATTTACAAGGAGATTTCTCGCTTCATTGTAAATGAAAATGTAATATATTTATTGTATTTTAGTTAGTGCGGCCTCGGTATGTTTTCTAATTGTAAAAAAATAAACGACGTATTCTTATCATGGAAATAAACATAAAAATGAAAATAATGACAACTATCGATGTGCCATTGAACGGTCAATGGTTACTTACATATTTGTATGATGTCTATCTGCGTAGACATGGGAAAACTAAATAGTTTCTAAATACCATTCATAGACTAGGTAAAAATTTAAATTTAAATAGCTCTATGATAATTTAAATTTGTAATGTACACATTAATTGTTGTTTATTGCAGTTACTGGAATTAGGTTATTTCTTACACTGAAAAAAAATACATAGTTAGTCCAACTAAAATTATGGTTAATATAGGGATACAATACATTTCTAATTGGAATTACTAAATACATAGTCGATCCAACTTTAGGGTTTAGATATTTTGCTCAATGGAATACTTGAGCAATACCAAACTTTATTTAAGTACACGTCATTGATTACTATTAAGTAATACCTAAGTAAAAATATACATAAGTATATAATGGGTATAGACAATTTTTCTACGAAATCAGACTTATAGCCAAATTCATTGTACAGTATTCACAAATAACTTATTTCACGCCAAAACATTTTTTTTAATACTAAAGACTGTTTCCGATACTTGAAAAACACGTTTTCAGCTTTTTATACACACATTTATAGATAAATAATTTGGTAATAATTTAGTATTACGGTAAGATTGTTTAAAGTTTCATAATTTATTACCAAATTAATTGTTGAAACAAAAAAAAAAAAGGGTGCAACACTTTTTTAACAAGGGTTAATCCAAGTTTTAAATTCTCCAAACTTTATAAAATATACTCTTTTATGGTGTTGATTAAGTGACTTTATTGACAGCAAGTGTTTGTTATAATAAAACAAGTTGAATGTTTATAATCTATACTTACTAGTTTTAGTCTGATCTCTCTTAAACATTTTTGCAAAGTTACATCTATCCATTGGAGTGTGAATACAAATAGAAAGTCATTAAAGTAAAGTGTTTATTTCAGTAATTGTTAGATAAAGTTTATTGTTCATATATAATATATATTGTTTTTGTTTACATTAGTAGCAAATAGTTATCGAAGTTGTCCCCTCTAAATAAGTCAATTCTTTAAAAAAGTATTATCTTAAAGTCATAAATGAAAAAAACTATCTGTATTTTCGTCGTGACATTATATTAATTTACAATAAAAAAAAGATCCCCAGTTTTTACTTGTTATTTGATTATGTAATTTTCTTGATAACATACTATCGACGACTGCAGCGTAGAAAGTCGTAACTTGATTTTTATAAATTTGAATTTGATAAAAAATAGTTCTTTCGTTTGTAAAATGTATTTTAAAAAATAGATGTGGACGTATAGAAAACTCGTGTAAGAATATATAAACTATATTAGTGTAAGTAATCAAAATTGTAATTTTATTTTTGCTCTCTTCAAAAGCAACAAAAATCAAGTTAAAACTTTCTTCGCTGCGGCATTCGATGTTATAATCTAGTCAAAATGAAAAGACGATCAATATAATATTGATCTAGATAAGGTAAAAAATAAAATTTTTATCTAGATAATACACAACGCTAGTTAGATGCTGCTAAATATAGTTAGACTTTTAAACTATAGTTCGCACGTGGTGGTCTCTTCGAGTTAGTCGCCTATCCAGCGTTAACTCAACAGTGTTGCCGTGCAACCCGTTAACGTGTTGTGGGTTATAGTAATATGCTAATTCGGTTGATACCATACTATGTATAAAAGCGATTAAGCTGTCGATAGACGACGGGCCGTGAACGATTCCGGTCGACCGTCTGCGGGCCGGCGGTCTGGCGGGTCTTCTCGCGAGCCATCGCGACAGACAAGCAGCAGATAGGTCGGTAGATACATGCAATACTATTAAATTAAGCAAAACGATTATATTGTATTGTAAATTGCTCTGGAAAAGACGCGGGAACGTGTGCGGCTCATACGTGGAAAATTGTCGGCCGTGAAAATCGACATACCTACAGCTATCCGATGTACCTACACCGAATTACAATACGATGCACTACGGCCGCGCGTTAATGGCAGCCGTGCATTGTCATGTGCCTAAGCTCAATAATATTACTATTATTATTATTATTATTATAATATTTTTATTATTTTCCCTACCGCGGTACACGCGCCGAGCCACAGGAGCCAAGCCGTCGTCGCCGGGGGGATGGCGACCCAAATAGGCCGACGCCTCGCGCTCCTATAACTGATCTCACATTGTCCCACCACGTCTCACACAGTGTTCGGCCGCGGGTCTCGCGCAAACCGTCGTAGTTTTCAAACTTGTCGCTATACTTATATTATACCTAACCTATACTTGCACTTAAGTCCAGTGTACCCGTATACACCACACTGACGTACTCCGACTCCATGTCTTCGTACAAAGCTATGCGCTCGACCGGCGTGGTCTTCGCGTGTTGCGCCCTGCTCTGCGTATGTCTGGCAGCAGCCCAGCACCAACCGTCGGCAACAGCATCTCAGAGTTTTGCTGCCACAAGTTCGGACGACGACCTGGCCGACTCTTTAACCCGCACCAACAACGGATCGGCGGACAACATGAAAAAAGTATGTTATTTTGTGGGGAAAATGTTTAGTGTAAAGTGCGTTGATCAGAGATGGGCAAAATGTATCAATATAACCCCCTCATTCCGTTAGGTTGAACGTTTGTCTAAATAATAATAACATACGTTGTCATTGTAAATTTAATTTAAAACAACACCGAAATGTATCATCAAGATTTTTTATATTGTATCGATCAATGTCAACCTCTGGCGCTAACCCCAGAGATGGGTACGTACAAACGATATCAAGTAATAATAGTATCGGGTATCTATTGACATACGTATCAATGTATCATGGTGTCAAAGGTAATTAGTGAACATGATGTGACGCTAACCCTTCGGCGTTCATCAATTTTCGATTTAGACCCAGAAACATTGGCCATTGATACTTTTTAAAGTTGTGAATTCGATATTACATTACTATAATGTATCTAATAGAAAACAAAAGAATAATCTCTATATGGTTCTATTTTGCTCTACAGCTATTGGAAATGTAATTTAAATCTAAATACATTTATTTGTTTATTTTAAAGTTTGAAAGAATTGTAATTGTTGGACTAGGAAAATGACATCCCCCATATTGTCTTTCTTTTGGGTACCCGCTGATTAAAATCGTTTACAAATATAGCGGTATTACAAGTTTTCATAAAAAATGTAAGTATAAAGAGTACCTGTGGATAGTGTTAATAATAAACTAGACAAGTCAGGGCAAGAGTATTTGATGAAGAGAACCCAAAGAAGTTAATGAACGTGTTTATCAAAAATTAGTCATAAAATCTAATAAATATGTCAGGTAAACATATTTTGAATAATCAATTATTTCTTAAGCGAATTTTACAGTAAAAAAAGAAAAAATAATGTAAGAATATAATATTTAATTCAATTGCATTAATTGCATTCTCTTGTCGTGACAGTATTCTAAAATGTACTTGTTATAGTTGTACCGTCTTAGTTTTCATTGTTACAATTGATAAACATACATTAAAACTTACAATAGTTTATTAAGTGAATAAGAAACTACAAGTAATAATTAAATAAAAAATCCGTTTAAGATATATTTTGAGTTGTGAACTGTTAATTATCTGTCTGTCAAAAATTATTATTTATAAATACACATTTTATCATTTTTATATAAATACAATGCTAATAATTATACATACTCTGACAAATATTGATGATGTGTGGATCAAGAAAAAAAGTGTTCTTAACGCGAGAAAATGTCCTGGTATTTTTTGACCGAATTGTACTATTCAAAATCAACAAATCGTTGACGATAACAAATCAATCATAAAACTAGAACATGTATAACTCGAAGTGTAGGTATTTTTAGAAGTACTGTCAATATACTAACAATACGATCTATTGATCGAATGCGGAACAAGATTAACCTTCATATACAGCACAACAATAAAAGTTATATTTTATTTATAGTTCTATTGAATTTGTAAAAAGTGATTATATTCTTTCAATGGTGCTTTTTTCAACAGTTTTATTGGTCGTAGATTTCCCAATCTGTGATATCAGTATACCTCAGTGTTATTATAAAGTATGAAACGAATTCAGCCTCTGCAGGTTGCAGAATATATACTAACTCCCTGGGTAGCTCGATAGGTTAAAACGATTAATGACAATAATAGTTATAACAATATGCTAATTGTGGTCAATGTCTTGTATCTTAATAAAGTGTTTGCAAATTACAAGACAACCAAGACAGTGAAAACGTCTTATCATTGTGTGTACCTACTACGCAAAAGAAAATAATATTACATTATATTTTACTATTCACTACCGTGGATCTGAAATAATAGCCGCGTTGTTCAAAATCTATACTTATGCCAAGAAGTATCTATTTGTACCCACAAGTATGACTATATGCCATTGTTCGTGTGTCTGCATTACAACAACTGTGCGAGAACCGTAGGGAATCTATTACGTGCATTACCGGGCACTAATCAGCTATTAGTATAACACACGGGTAGATTATAGGTACAGCAGAGCACATATGGTATAGGTTCGGATATGCAATGTAGAGGTTCCTCCAAATCGCACCGGGTGAAAAACAGGTTAATGTTGTGCTATCGTGCCTAGTCATTTTAAAGTGAAAATAATATTCGTATTACTGTTGTTGTACCAGCACTTCTAGATCGAGGAGAAGCCAATTTTTCCTCACGTACCGACTTGGGTTTAGCGCAACAATAAGAAAATTATTACAGCTCTAACGATAATTACATTTGTGTGTGCGCGCGAGGGACATTGTGAGGAATTACACGAGTGTGTGTTGTTGTTATTCTTGCAAACGTTTGTTATGAAACTGTCTTTTGTTCAAATTCGATTATTAGCGGTGATGAAAAAATAACTGTTTATCGGCGTACAATATTAGTTAAATATTATAATTTTGATAAAATATGGCACTTAAATAGTTTTTGATTGTTTCAATAGTTTTTAAAGACGCCACAGCTGAATCATACGTTTTCGCAAAAAAATAAACATATCATATTAATAACTTAGATGGTTAGACCAATGACTACCGTTTAACACGTTTTACTGTCGACTCACGAAGAGCAAATTTTAATCCTGCGGAACGCAACAACGTAAATCTTTCTTGTGTTTTTTTTTTTACTTTATTCTTTTTTAATATTTTTTTGAAACACGACGAAAAAAATCATACTCGAAAACGAAAAAACGGTTTATTAAGTGGTCATAAAACTATAGAACTTATGGATGGACGATTACACGAGTATACTATAACTGACAACTAAGTGGACAATATTATGTTATCCAAGCAATGTTCTCAAAACGGTTGCCTGAATGAGTGGATTTGTTTTCAGAGCTTTCTTAAATATTTCATTCTTCATTACCAGTGAATTTGAAATGTGTGTAGAGAAACAGCGAATTGAGTAATTTATTTTTTACAAACAGGTAGTATTGGGCCTCACTCAGAGAATTAGCGCGGAGGCACAAACTGTGAAATGAAACTTTCAAAAATATTAAAATAAAACATTTAAAAATCACATATTACCCATGTTATATACAGCCCTGTTTGAATTGAATTCTTCACTAGGGTTTTCGATAGCGTGTTCCTGTATTAATTGTACTTGACCAATATCCCGTAGGATTTATTTGGTAATTGGGTGGCTTACAGGCTTTTGTAAACTACTCTTCTATGCTTGATCGATCGTTGTTCATGTTCTCGTTTTTCAGAAATATAATTGGAGAATATTTAAATGTATTCAAGTGCGCGCTCCATTCGTTATCTCCGACTATCATCTTAGCATTTTACTTTGTCTGTGTTTTGTATTCGACTATATCGCGATGACGTCCAATTAACGTGCGCTAGTCCTTCGCCAAACATATTTTCTTCTCGAGTCCTGTAAATATAGTAATATAGAGAAACGTGTATATTAAGCATGGCGTCGACCACCACCAGGTAAATCTGACGCTGTCGCCCTTAAAATATATTATTATTATGGCTGCGACAACTATCGGCGGCGGCTGTTGAGGTCGGCGAAAACTACAGGACGATTTTTTAAACGAACATTTACAGCCATTAAACGGCGGCGGTAGTCGCAAAATCTGGGTTGGAAAGTCAAAAATATATCATTATTATTATTATTATTGTTATTATTATGATATACGTGACCATGGTACGATTGTACGCGCCGTCCGGTATTCAATTATTATATGCCCACACGGACGTGTCTTTTATTTTTCGAGATTCTTACTCGACATGCGCTTTTCCCTTAAGGCCGGAGGAGACCGGCCCACAGCTCGACGGACACGGCAATTGAATTTCTCTCTGTCCTGCGATTCTCACCGATGATTCTTGTCGTCCGCACATACCGCACACGTCGGAATCGCATCCCGTCAGTCACACGTCATAGAATTATTATACACAAAATAATAATACATAACAACTTGTCGCGCATAAACCTAATTTATACACAGGTCCGCGGAACATCAACAACATTGTACACAAGCGTTTCCAATTCGTAGTTTAATGAGTATATGACGTTTATTATGGTACAACAACGAGTACTAGTTACATAGCCGATAAACTGATGTTAACGAGTTATTAAAGAAACAAACTACTTTTAAAATAAAAATTTAACTATTGCATAATATACAGTAATTTATTGAAAAACAAGTATATTTTTCGGAGGAAGAACTTTGTCAATAATAATTTCTAAATAGTATAAAGTTCACAATGATACAGTAAACTGTTTTATTTTCAAATCATCAAACATATAATAAAATTATGATTTTGTCCATTAAACCTCGACAAACCGTTTAGAAAATATTATTTTTCTCTACAAACGGTGTTGGCCAGCCGCATCCCGTCTCTCTCTCTGATTACAAACTTCAAAATTTTGGAAAATATTACACAGGGTAGTTGTAAATAATTAGAAAAGATTTTCCTCTAGAATTAAGTATAAGCCAACCAAGATGTACTTTTTTTAAATATAATTATTAAATACATTATGCAATTAATTACTTTCATTTAATACAACATGATATTGGATATTCATATTCTAAAAAATAAACTTTCATGTTTTGTGTCATTCAATTCCAATTATATATCTATTAGCTTTCCTTCGATACAGTACACTGCGTTGTTCGATTTTGCTGCAGGTTTGAGTCGATTTCGTGTTCACAATCAGAATCATAGGCAAAGTATTTCGATCGTTTGAATTATGGTAAAAAAAAAAATCATAAACGCACGTCTAATTATAATTATTCCTAACTATAATCTATCATATAGGTATAGCTGTTTTCGTTTTTATGGATATGTTCAGCCAACATATGAAATTGGCTTATTAACAGTGGCTTGTCATAGGACAAATGTTATGATAACATAAAGAAAGTAAAATATGAAACTTGCAATAATTTAAACATTACCTCGTCGAATGTTAGCTTTTTAGACCGGCAATCGACCCAGTTATACCAATGACAAAAAGTACATGCGTTATTATATTATTATTATCACAATGCTTTGGCACTCAGTATTTTTTGTTGTCTTCGGATTCGCATTTTCACGGTTCGTTTCAGTTGTTGAGTGGCCGAAACGGTTTCTCTCGGATCATCCGTCGTTTAATCGGACACACATACACACACATATATATAATTATCAGTTCTTTTGGAAAACAGGGAGTATACAATACTATAATAGTACTTGAGAAGTTTATTTTTTTTTTTTTTACGAAAGTGAGAAACATTTGACCGCCTGTGAGTTATCAACACGTTCATAGGCAAAAAAAAAAAAAGCAAAATAAAATTGACAAAAATTAGCGTCATCTGAATGTGATGTTGTTATTATATATGATCCGTGTGAGTGGACCAACTGTCACGTATCTAATAACGCGTGTCGTGCGAAGGTTGTTCGATTTCCCAATAAACTTGGTGGAAATTGGAACGATACTTGTAAAATATAATATTATTATGTCCGTGCGCGTGTGTCCCATGAGCAAATTTCCAATAAACCCATGTCCGCGTGAACAACATTATAATACGTCTTCTTCTTGTATATTACAAGAACATTGTTCGATCCGAACGACGGTTGTCGGTGGAGATGTGATTTATAATAGCAATAATAATGCCTAACAACGACAGTTTTCCGATTTCACACGAATATTCGCATATTATTTAGCCTACTAGCCCAGCGAGCACGGACGAGTAAAAAATCATCATTGTTGTCTTCGCTGCGAAACGGTATAATATAATATAATATATTATTATTATAATCGTTTTACTTTGAACGACCGCGAATGTCCGAAAAAAATGATAGAACGTTATATTTTTGTGACGATTTCGAACGTCGTATCATGCCTACAATTCCACTCTAATAATTTCAAATTTGTATTGTCGACAAACGTTGAATTGGTCAATTGATCAGTCAAAAAATCAATCGAAAAAATAAAATAAATAAAACACATTAGCTAGATACGTTAGTCCGTAATTTTATATTAAATATAAAAAAAATTATTTAAAATAATTGTTTGCAGATTTTATAGAGAAAATAAAAATTACGCAGTGAACCACGAAGTTAATTGTTTAATGTAATAGAAAGGAAAAAACGCATAATAATATTCGTAAACAAAAATGTTAGGTCTAAGCAGCTTGCTACAATATATTATTATAATTAAAGCTAAATCTTGTACTCTAAAAAAATTGATTATTTTTAAATTATAATATTTTGTAAAAAATCACAAATAATAAATTATAATATCTGTTCTAATATTTGGACACTGGATGGTCAAAAGTTAGTTTTTCAATGCAGTGTTGAATTTTACCCTTTGGGTTTACTTACCTTTTGGGTTCTAATTATTTCAATTCAGATTGAAAAATATGATAGTACTAAAATGTATGGTGTTTTAGTCAATAAAAATAAAAATAATTTATCACATTTTTTTATCCCCTTCCATTCATTTCATACTATTCTACCGTAGACAAATCAATTGTTTTTGTATTAACTGTCAGTCATACCATGTCTATTAACATGAGTGCAACTTTATATGTTGTTTTTTGGATAACAGTCAACACAATATGTTCTAATGGTTAAACTTTGTTTGTTCAAGATGATGTGGAAGCGGTGTATGACCAAAAACTACGTTACCTGCGTTAAGTTAGCGTTAGTACACTTGGTCGACCGACTGGATACCGTCAACGGAAGTTACTCGCTGGTTCCTGGCATTACCGTGACCAATCTGAAAGACGGAGCGGCCGATGCGGGTATACCTGTAACGTCTCAGACTACAGGCCGCGAATCGTCGGACACGTTGGACGGATATTTAGCTAACAAGATAAGTCATTATTTCAACAGTCTGACGCTCAACGTTAAACTTTTGGACGACGACACCGTGCAAACCGTGCGCAAGTTCGGCGAAGCCGCAACCGACGCGTCTATGCAAACTGGTAATGACACTGAAATGTTAATGATAGTAAAAAAAGCATCATTATTTATTTTAATAAATCCAAGAATGACTTAGAGATGCATGCCTCGAGTAGAACAAAACCGAGTGAGCAAGACGTTGATGATTTTGTACCTAACCGGCTTTCTTAAAATAGGTACCCATTTGCTACGGAAAGTTTTGATTTATTATGTTTATAGTTATTTTTAATTTATCACAATAATATTTGACCAGAAGCAACTGACACGTAGAAAGCGGGATGGGTTAACAAGAAATCGAACTTTGCGCAAAATGATTCGTTGAAAACGGGGACCGAATAATTTGGTTAACCAACTTGTTTTACCTCAAAATCACCAATAGTTTAGTTTAATGTTGACAAGTTAAAATAGTTACATATTAATGCAAGCAAATTCATATTTTTTTATACTTTACTTAAATATGGTTGAGATACAAAATTGTACTTTAATAAAAATCTTTTTAAAATTATAACTATTTTGAAAGAGGTTAACAAAAATCTATTTGTTAACTTTTTCAAAATAAATTATGTACAACATAAAACCACGTTTCATTTTTTTTCGATTTTGATCCACGCTCGAGGAAATTTAATTGGACAAGTTTCTGTCAAATTATCTACAACTAAACAACCGAAGTCAAATAGTTGGATTTATAGAGATATATATTATACTATTACACTAATAATAACATATTAAGAAAAATATCTATTTTAAGCAAAATTATAAACATTTTCACGTGAAAATGTTGTGTTAAAAATTAAGTACTTCCACTTATTTTGTATTTGTAAACATTATAGTTTATTGATTTCACTTTTTACTGCGATTAGATTTCACTACAATATATTAGTTTTTTGTGACTCTGTATATTATTATACTCGTTAAGCTGTTATTATCATCATTATTTACATAGTATTTTTCGGGTTATACGCTTGACGAGACTGGTAATACAAATATTATTATATTACGTGTGCATTTTTTTCTACTTTTCTATTAGCTGCTGTATAATGTCGGATTCGTGGAAATGCACACTCATTTATCTTGTAGGTCATCGCTATTATACACATTATCAAAAATCTAGTTTCGGATCAACGGCCATTGTCCTTTTTGTGGGTTTCTTTACCAAAATGCACTTTTTTATGAAAAGTAAGAGTGTCGAAAAAACGTTTACAGTTACGATAGCGTTGTATAATACTTGTTATAGTTTTACTTTTTTTTATTAAATACCTCATAGCTGCCATTGTATTTCGGTAACTGCACCCGGGCGTTTTGTAAGTGGTAAAACGTAGGTCAGTGGCCATTATACCTCAATGTCCCAATGAGAATTCCCCATGAACAGATTTTTAATTTCCACATATTATTCTAGATTGGACAGCTGTGCGGATTGTATTCATTAAATATGACTTTCATAGATTTGTGAACTAACCCGCAGAAATATGGAAAATATCATATTATTATACTATTAAATACTATAATAAAAACCATTTTTATTTTAACTTTTTGCAGGAAGAGGTAAGAAACAAAAGTACGCTCACGCCATTTTACTGGCCGGATGGGTGACCGGCGCCACTCTGTTGGTGATCGGCATGAAAGCAATAGCCGTGTTGGCAGGCAAAGCTCTGATGACGGCGTTGCTGTCGTTGCTGCTGTCCGGTCTGTCGTCGTTCAAAGGAGGCCACTCCGAACCGAAAAGTACGACTTACGAGATAGTCACCAAACCGGTGTACAGCCATTCCCACACAAGTGACCACGACGCCCACGCCGCGGCTTCCCAGAACAACCCCACGTACCGCAGGTCCATAGGAAATTCTCAACAAGCCACGTCCTCCTCCGACGAGGCCGACCACATCGTGTACCGCATTCATACGTCCGACAAGACCCCCATTTACATACCCATCGAAAGACGTCGCCGCCGTCGTTGATTACCGAAAGAAAAAGAAAAAATGCCAAACACATTATACCCCCCCCCCCCTCCCCTTTGATCGACTCTTCATTAGAGAATGAAACAATTATTTATTCAATTTATTTATTATTATTTTCAATTTCTTGTTAATATTTATTTAAAACTATCGCTAAATAAATACTTATGATTAAAATTGAAATACGTTTTAAATATTTTTACCTTAGTGCACGTATAGTGTTATCGCCATAGACAATATTTTGGCAAAATGTAATTTTCGGAAAAAAATTGTAGTCATTGCCACATTAGTTGCGATACGATGTAATCTGGAATCTCTCCTCCTATCCTTATCGATGGACCTTCTACGTTCCCTGCCATACTTTGTTGTCCTTTTTGGACTTGATCTACCCGGTAGTGAAATAACACCCGTAACTGTAACTGGTATTTGATCGTTTTGAAAGTAGTTCTATTCTTTGCAACTCATGCTGAATAAGGGGTATTTTCCGCCATCAGATAATCGTCCCAACCACGGTCCGCACATTACGCCTATGCCATACCAACCGGCTAACCTCCTTTCCGAGCTCTTTAAAGTGGTAGTTGAAAAAATCGACTCATATTAAAAGATATGAACCTTAAAGCGTTTATAAAAAAAAAAACATAAATTTGTTTTTATGACTAAAAAAAGAAAGTATTTTTTATGATCAAATATATTTTATTACTTAATAACAATAATTAAAATGCAACTGTTTCCTGCCGATTTTGACTCAGCTTTATACTTACTCAAGGTTCGCATAATATATTTAAAAAGGTTGATCGCAATTATAAAAAAAGTTATTTAAAATAATTCGATTTATAAACTAAGGATAAATAATAAATAAAAAAATACGAAAAAATGTTCTTAAATATGTATTTAATGTTGCTCGACGAATTATAAAAAATAAAGAAATTGAAAAAAAAAATGTTTAATTCTGACACATATACATTTTTAATCTCCCTTGTGTTAATTTGTATATGAATAATGAATATATTATTATATTAATATCAAATTACCTAAAAGGGCAAAATAGTAAAAACCATGGGTGGTTTTAAAACTGATTTAATGTTTCCAAGCGAACTCGACGTTATTTCTGAAAAGCGTAATTCTGTATTCAAACTAACCGTATTTTTTTTGTGATTGTGTGCCAACCTATTCTACCCATTATCGGTGGTATGGTTGAAATCGGTACCTTTGCTAAATCCAAAAGTTTAGGAGTTCACATTTGCGATGCATTAACATCTCGTCATCCAAACTTTTTAGTAATAAATAGTTAACAAATTGCATATAAATTGATCAGTTTTCGTCACATAACTGCACGTGTATAATTCTATAATGCACCAGCGTCACCGATAAAGATTCCAAATCTAATTAAATAAATAATTTATTTTAATTATTTGTCTTTATTTATATTTGTTTATCATTATTATTAAAACAAAATTTGAATTGCTTGTATGTTTTTGTCTAATTACATAGAGGTTCACTAAAATAATGTTAGATGAATCAATAATATCCCTATTAAAAATGTGTTGATCCTCAACGTTTTAATAAATTACAATTAAGGAGTACCTACACCTGAGTATTATTGGTCCAAATCAACTCATTCCAATTTAAACGCCCTGCGCCTGAGAATACTCCGATTTATGTTTTAAAAGGATATTTAAATTTTTTATAAAATTTTCAATGCATTGAACATAGATAAGGCATCGATCGTGGCATACTATTTAATTTATTTTTGTTAATTAATTATTTAATTTAAAAAAAGTTAAATATTTCTGGTTTATACATTGAAATAATTAATTAATTAAAAATAATTTTAAAATGGTGTCACAATCGATGACTTGAAAAGTTCATAAATAATTCAAATGTTTTTTTCAAATTTTATGTCTAAAATTATTCTTAGTAGTCATCCTACATGCGTTAAAAAAATATTAAAAAAAAATTAGTATAAAAATAGAGTCTTTCCTATGGTAATATATATGTTTAAAAATTGTAGCTTAATGTTAAGTTTTATTAAAAAATTGACTATACAATGCGCCTTAATAAATGATGATGTAAAAGTCTCTTAACAAATAAAAAAACAACATAGAAGCTAAAATTGATAGAAATGTTTATTAAATAAAATCAATAAGATATAAGTTTACTATGGCAATATCAAATTATTATATTGTACAGTGTTGAGTACATTTTATGAATATAATTCATATGATACAAATATTACTAAAATATACTTAAAATTAATTTCCTACTAGATGTAATGTTTTATTTTTTATAATCATAAATCTATTAGTTAAATAATATCCTAAAAAATTGAATGACCACAAGTTTGAACAATTTGAACTAATAACAAGTCTGCGTTATTAAAGTTTATTTTTATGCTATAAAAAATATTTTTATATTATTTTAACAATCCCCATAAAATTTATTCCGCGTACATTAAATTAAGGCATTCTAGGTAGATTATACTACATACTAGCGGGCGTACCGGTAGCATTGTGCCTAAAATATTGTATCTAAAAAGATATTGCAGCATAAAATAATATATTTTTAACATATTATAGAGGGATTATAGAAGAGATTTATGGAGGAGGACCATGAAGAGGTATAGAAAAGGATCATGGAGGGTTTATGGAGGAGTACAGGGGAGGTAATGAGGTATGAGTTTAGTTAAGTTTTGTTTTAGGCTCGACTTAGATTTGGTTTAGGTTTGTTTATGTTTAGTTTAGATTTGGTTCGGTTTGACATAGGTTTAGTTTAGGCTTGATACAAGATTGGCATAGGTTTGGTTTGAGCTTGGTTATGTTTTGATGGCTTAACATAGGTTTGGTTTAGGCTTAGTTTAAGCTTGACTTAGGTTTTGTTTAAGCTTGGTATAGGTTTAGATTTGGTTATGTTTGGTATGGAGGGATTATGGAGGAGAATCATGGAGGGAATTAGAAGAGGATTATGCAGGAATATGGAGAATTAAGGATGGATTACTACGGAGGAGAATTATGAAGGAGAATTATGGAGGAGGATCGTGGAGGGTTTATGGAGAGATAATGGAGGAGAATTTAGAAGATTAGGAGAAGGATCATAGAGGAGCATTTATTAATTATGGAAGATATAAACATACTTCAACCACGCAAATGCTTACACTGTACTTGTCTACACACAGCCCAATAAAAAAAGGTGAAAAAAAGAAAATATAAAAATGATTAGAATAAGAGGTTATAATAATAATAATAATTAGTTTATAAAAAAAAATGAGAGTATAATACTAGTGTGCAAAATTAAAAATATGATTATGGTCAGCGGTGAAAATTATTCTGTGGATGGGGTGCTGTCTGGTTCGCCTTGTGCCTGTGTCGAGTGGACGTCCCAATCAACTTGAACCAAAGCCGGTATCTCCTCTGTATAGCATAGAATAAAAATTCATTACTGTTTATATAAAAAAAAAAATTGACTTACCGCCCGGTTTTGCGTTTTTTATTTAGCTTTTACACAATTTATGAGTTCACTTGATACTAATACCAACGACGTTTCTGTTACTTAAATCCAATTTTGAATTTTATTTCAATAATAATAATAATTTAAATTTATTTACTTAATCTCAGTTAAAATAAAAATGTCTATTGACAAGTATCAAAACTATCTTGCCATCGAAAAACTTTCATACTTCAATGAAGTAAAACCAAATAAAGGTTCAAAAATGTATGTGGAAATTACATACAAATCGAAATAGATTATAAATAATTTTTTTTTTTGTACAGAAACACTTAAGTAAGATAAAAAAAACTATAAAAAAATATATTGTATGATTTTTGTCAGTACACACGTTAGATCTAAAAACGGATGAAAAGTGTTAAAATGGTTGGCCAGTTAATAATGAAATGACATTTATATTGATAGTTGGGCCTTGGTAACGTGAATCCGGTACTGTTACTATATAATTATTTATAATATAAATATTTTGTTGTGTAATTTTGAACTTGGTCTTCTGAAAACCTATAATTGTTTTGTCTTCACTTTAACTTTGTATTTATACCAAACCAATTTTGTTTTGTCTTGTGTTTTTTGTTTACGAGTGTAATTGAATTGTCTCTAACTTTGAACTATTATTCTTTTGTATACCCATAATTGTTTTGTGTTAACTTTAATTTTGTATTTATACCAAACCAATTTTGTTTTGTTTTGTACTTTTGTTTCGCTATGAAAATGGCAGATGAAAATACTGGATTTTGTACAACCGCCAGCACTTCGGCCGCCGGACAAGGTTGGTAACTTATTCTAGGTTAAGTTGTCGTTAAGTTGGTACGTGTAGCCTTAACCTAACCTAACCTAGTCTGTAATTACAATTAGTAGACAACCGTTGCATAGTGGACTCCGGTCGTGGACGCGGATCGAAGAGGCCATGTGAAGGCGATCAGCCGGCGTCCAAGCGAGTCAGGTAACCCTAAATAGCTGTCAATAAACGATTTTACCTGGAAAAAAATTAGGAAAGTTTTGAAACTTGTCAGAAATTTTCTTTATGACTTCTGAATGGCCAAAAAAAATTCGCCACCCCTCCGAAGACCGAAAGTGTTCGCCATTTTGTTTTTTTTTTAATTATCATCAAAAGTATTAATTTTACAACAAAAATACTTCTATTCAGCATTATCTCCAATAATTGAACTGTCGGGAAAATTAGTTTTTTGATTTTTCTGTTTTTTCACCATAAAATTATTATTTTTACTCACTAGTTTTTGCATTAATTATTAGTCTTAGGCATCCTTAATTTTTCGAAAGATTTTTTTGGTACTTTGGTTTATTATTTTTGCTTTTTTTAATTTTTAAGGAGGTACTGCATTATTTTCTAGTATTATTGTGTATTAAAAACAAAATAAACTTAACAAAATGCAGTATCTCCATAAAGATATTTTTTAGTATAATAATGTAGAATGATAAACACATAATGGTTATAGTTAGTACCAAGGTATCTGAAAAATCTCAATAAATGTTTGGTACATATTGTCGTGTCTGACTAGTACCACGACCATTTCTAGATCAAATATAGTGTACATACTGCAAAGCCGTTTTAGCTAAGATTACTTGGTAAATATGCAGTATATGCATTGAGAAATTCGATTACTAATAAAATAAGCAGTATCTCCATTGTATAATATACTGCTTTATTCCCTAGGTCATGCTACATAAATGTACATACTGTGTTTTTCCCTAGTATTTGACAATATTTTGGTCAGGACAGGAAGTTATTGTTAATATTATAAATCGAGTAAATAAATAAACAGAATATCGTCTATTAGTCTTAATAAGATGTTTATAATTTTACAAATAGTGATGGTACGTCGGAAAACGAAAACGAAGCGCCCAGTATGGTTATCGTCGATCAATCGTTAATCCCAATTGATGAAAATATCATCGATTTCAACAAGTAATCAATTAATATAATTTCCTAGGGGGGGGGGGCTGTATGAAATATAGAACCTGTTCAAATACACGTATACACCATTCCCATCCCCTCTTATTTATGAACAGTAACGGCAGTGTCGACGATGTAATTTGTGATGTGTCAACCGAGTCGGCTGAACATGTGCCAAGTGAAGAAACCAATGCTGGGTTGATTAACGTACAAACTATTAAACAGGAAGTAATAGACGACGAATATGAAAACGTGTACAACCAGTACTTGAGTCAATGGACTACCGACTCGGACGACTCGGAAACCGAAATTACCTGTCCAATTATCAAGCAAGAAGTCATCGACCAAGAATACCACCTGAGTCAGTGGGACGACCGGGTCCCTTCGACCAGTTGGGAGGCGACCTATACGGAACTAACCGATCAGAGAATTAATGAAGACGATAGTGACGATGACGAAAAGTATATTCAGTACCTGCGCTAATAAACTACGTTTAAAAATAATTTCACATAAACTACATTGTTGTTTATGTAATGTATATCTGTTTAATGTTTATAATGTTTTTGTAATGTACCTAATGTATTCTTGTATTCTTGTTTTGTTATGTATTATTTCTTCTATCTTTTCAATGAAAAGATAGAAGATGAAAAGTTTTCATACAATTTATGTTGATGTGTATTGTGTACCTAATACTGTGTTATAAAAAATATTTTATTGTAAATGAATTGTAAATCGTGTAATTATTGTACCCGAATTAAACACTTAATAATTAAAATTGTACGTTGTGTTTACTAGATTTGTTTTTACAATGATGGCTTTTATTTTTTTAGCAGCTCTCTAGTACAGAAATCGTACCTGAAATGGTAACTATATTGGGAAAAATATATCAAAAAAAAAAATTTCTCCTTCCCCTTCAAAATCGAGAAAAACAATTAAATATATTCCAACTTAATTATTTTTTAAATAGTCGAATTAGTTAGAAATATTTATGGAATATTCTCTAAACACAGTAGATAGTACCGATAAACATTGACAAGCCAAAAAATAATATCATAAACCCTTTCCCCTAGAAGAGATAGAAATGTTTTCTTTATTTCAATTGGTGGAGCCACAGCTCATACGTCCCGTCGTTCTCGGGTTGTTTTGCAAGAAATGTTTCCTGGTCGCCTGTTCTCCTATTTCTTATGGGGATGCCTCAAAGCTGAAGTTTTCAAACGTCGACCTAGAACCATTAAAGAACTAAAGGAAGCTATCCGTCAAGAAATCTCTGGGATTCCACTCGATATGCTGGCGAGAGTGATGGAAAACTTTCGAGAACCGGCTCCAAATGTGCGTCGCTCGTCAAGGCAATCATTTGGACGACATAATTTTTTAAAAAAACCTTATATAATTTAGTTTCTATAAATACAAATGTTTTTTTCATATCTTGTATAGTTTTTTTAAAATTCACCTTGGAAATGTGGGAGTCCATTACGCCGCACCCTGTATATTTTACAACAATCGACCATTTTTCGGTTGCGTGCCCGACAAGTACATATTGTTATAGGTATGTATCAGAAAAAAAAATGTCTGGGGGAGCACTTGGTACCCACTACCCACCTGCTACAGCTCTTAAAAATTAAAATAAATAAGTAATAACAATTAACAATAATTGAAGCATGAAGACGCCAGGAAACTAAGTACGATAACGGCAGATGGATGCGACCACAGACGTTGAAAATGGCGCCAAATGGTTTTGTTTTGATTAACAGCTGTTTGTATAAGTAGCGAGTTGTATCCTCAGCCACAGGTACACCAAAAATTAAAAATTCGTTTTTCTTATCACTGATAACTATCTGTCATACCATGTAGATACTCACAATCAACCATTTCTTGATGCTAAAAAAAAATTCTTATCACTGATAACATTGATAACAATCCTCTTTTTGATAAGGGAGGATCATCACTGATAAGGGAGGATGATCCTTACTCAACAATACACTACTTGTCTCTTATACAAAGAAATTATAGCACATGCATGAGTTTTCTAGTCGGTTGCAGTAAGCTGCAAATAGGTTGCTAAATATTGGCGGAGATCCGGAGTTGATCGGACAATGTAGGGGGGCCAACTTCACACACGTGAAAGTATGATTATTTAACCCAGTGTCAATCACGGGATTTTCGGTCACGCTTAAATAAAGTTTGACCGGCGTAAATTCCTTATCTGAGTCACAGTGTGATGCGTCTTACTTGACTTGACCGATGACGGGTTAAATTACAGAAACACAAAAGGGTATAATATATATTTAATATGTAACTTTCGTTTAGCTAACGTAATAGCTATGATGTCGTAGTTGAGCGTTCTTTACATTCATATTAGTGCGATTAAAATTTAGTGGTTGAATGGCGAGTTAAAAATTTACCGATAAAAGATTAAACTATTCATGAAAACATTACAAGATTTCTAGAATAGACGTGCATTTTTTTTTGTAAATTCATTTATTTTATAATATTATATAGATATGGTTTACATGTTTATAGATAAACAACAAAGTATTTAAGCTATTTATATCTTACTAGTAAATGTATTGATAATATTCTGATGAAAATCGTGATTCTTTTCTAATTAAGTTTGGTGTATTTATGGTTGCCTAGCCAAAACGCCCTGTAAGATACAAATATGAAGGATTAAAAATATGTATTTAGATTTTGTATTGCGATCATTTGTAGATACTATTATTTTAGTACTTAATATTAAATAATTCGTTTTTATTTAAATAGATAACAAAATAAATATACAACATTGACGCTATGATTTTATTAAGTTATAACTTAAATTATGTTTACATCGTGTCTCAATATCTCAGGCTCTATAGTCATTAATTGTTAAATTAAAAATTAAATAGTTAAATTATCTTGAACGGAATAATTATAGTGTATCAATAAAGAAAAGCTAAGTTTGAAAACTGAACACATAGTTTTTACACATTATTATAATATTAAATAATAATAAATATAATATAATATGAAATTATAGAACGACTTCATATATTTTTACAAACTCGGATACTTAAAATCTGTAGCTTAAGTTAAGAACCCTTATAACTTTTGGGAAGCTTTAATGTTTTTTTTTTAGAAAAATAAAAAAAATTGTTTTAAATTTAATAAAATGGGAGCGTAATGCATTATTTTAATTTAGACATGTTTAGTTTTTTAAGTCGATTTATCTAAAAGTAACATTGACGCTTTTTAACCCATGCCACAGGAATACACTAAATAACTATCTCTTTTTATTTTATATATGTAATTTTATTATTATTACAGGTTTTTTATTTAAAAACAATTATTGCATTAAATCCAATTTGCTGGTTTTAAAACACTCGAAGTACTTATTCACATGTATGTTATTTGAATACTGTCCGTTGATATTTCCTTTTGGATAATAATTTGCTACGACAAACAATCTTCCAGACCGGCTAATCGATTTTCCTACTCCCAGCTGTTTAGTGTCTGCCCATATAAGTTGTGTAAAAGGACCTGTAATCAAAAGTAATGTTACGTTGACTTAATAATAAATTAGAAAAAAGAAAAAAACGCGTTACATGCCGGAATTAATATTGGCAGAAAACATTTTGGAATTATTTCTAGGTTTAAACACTTTTGAAGTTGAATACCATTCACGGACGGCTTCTTTTCCTAAAATTGAATAGTTCATTGATATTATTTATAATATGATAACTAATAAGTTAACAAAACAATATTTTACGATCATTTAATGATTATATTGTAATTTGTACTTCTATAACTAAAAAAAATCGCATAACATGATTATTTTCAAAAAATAAACTGTTTGAACACTTTACACGCGTTAAACATTATAAATACCATTTAAATTATTGGCTTTATCGGTCAGCTTTCTGCAAAACAAATTCTGGCCGTACACTGTTTTGTTTTGATAAGCGAACGTGTCTGTGTGTGCTAAATAGTTGGCCCAGTTCTGTGCTTCTTGGCATAGCTAAACAATAAAAAAACAAAATTATATTAAGAAGACGTCGCACCGCCCATTTTTAAGGAGTAAAGTATAGGCAATTTTTTACAAAATCCTAATTATAAGGTTAAATTGTGATGTATAATTATTATTTCAATAACTAGGACTCTATTTTGGTACTTAATTTATTTTTTGGATTAGCACAGCAATTTAAAAATGTTTTTTCATCTTTACATGTTTAGGCAGACTGAAAATAACTCGCTTGATTTTAGTTTTAGAGTAAAAGCACTCATTATATAATTAAAAGAAAACAATATTCCAGAGGGCAAAACGGTACGTTTTTTTCATTATTCCAAGTATAACGCTCAACATATAGTTTAGAAATAACGACTATTTTAACATTTTTAATTGACTGTAACTTTTCAAAAAATGAATTTTTTTTAAAAAAACGCACCGTCTTACCCTCCGGAATATTGTTTTCTTTTAATTTTATAATGGGTGCTTTTACTCTAAAACCAAAATTAAGCGAGTTATTTTCAGTTAGCGTAAACATGTTTTTACCACTGAAACCACCGGTGCGACGCCCTCTTAAGCAATTATTTTACAATGATAGAAATTAATTATTTTTTAACTTTACCTTACTACTTTAGATACTTTAAAGCATAAAAATTAATTTTCTATCATACGATATTTTTGTAAACAGAGCTACAATTTATTTTAAAAAATATGATTTTCTTACATAGAAAGTGTTATTTTTTTCTAAAAAAAGTAATTATATCTACAACAGTCAATACAATATTTTTGAAATAAAAAACTTAATTTTTTTTTATGTAAATAAACTGAACTTACACTTGCACTCAAAATTAAATCAGTTGAACGATGAAAACGTCTGTAAAAATTATGCCAAAATAAAGAATCATTAACAAACTCGCTCGGTGTCCAACAGTCTGTCTCCCTTTGCTCTTTGCTATTTCGTATTCTATTACTGAGGATCTAAAAACACACAAAAAAATTAATAGCATACGATATAACTATCTCATATTGCATTATTTTAGTTATTGTCTTTAAAACTACTTCTTCACACCTACTCTAACTGCAATATCAGCACTAGAATTAAAATAAATCCATTACACAATAAAGCATAATATGTTGTATCGAAAACTAAATATTCATATAATTTCTAGGTGTAAGTGTAAATACTACAACAGAAGAGAACGGGTTACAATGTAAATTATACGGTAGGTATATAATTAACAGCTGTATCCATGTATCTGTGTAGCTACATCTCTGTATATTATATTTTAAACATAGGTATTGGTTTCATGGTAATTGTGGTGGATCAGTTGTACTCGGTGGTAGTCACTATAGTAGTCACTTTAGGTCATGAACGTCTATGATATTAATTATCCCCAAATGACCAAGTGTTGTGATGGATCGTCGACTTTGTACCGGTGTACTATTGGACGTAGTGCACTGCACGTTAACAGGAAAAGATAAGATACAAGTTGTACGCGAAAAGACGGCACCCAGCACGCTACTTTGTAACGACTAGACATCATGCAAAATGTAAAACTCATTCGCGGCTCGTGACCATTTCGAAGCAAGAATACTCGAAAACAGCTTACCGACTCCGGTAATTACAAACATGAGACCTACTATATATTATTCAGGGGCCTTGGATTTATGCTCATTTAAAAAATAAAACCGTCTACGTTGGGGCACGCTATGTAACACTAACGTCCACCAAACTAATTACCCGTCAAAAGGCGCGTTGTATAATTTATTAATATTAATTCAAGACCCAGATCATAATAAAACTAAATTATTATTGATATATTTTTTTGTACTCATCGTTGTAGCTGTGTACCGATCGTAAATATTATGCGATACCGACACGTTTTAGTTCGCAAATAATAAATGCATGATTTTAAATTATCTTTAAAAATTTCCTACTTAATATTAAAATATTATTTGTATAAACAATAATTATTATGTAAAAAGGTCGTTTTTGTAGTCACTTCACCTTGAAATTAATTAAATTAGTAGACATATTTGCATGGTTAAACTATTATTTTTTTATAAATATAAATAATATGATAATATTATGAGGAAATTGTAATAAATCTTAACTGATAAGCGCTACTACAAAATTTAATTTAACCAGATTCTAGGTATTCTGAGTGTATGGAGGAAGTAGTGTGCAAACAGTTCCTTAAACTACTATGCGGCATAAACTTTTATTTATAAAAGTGTTATATTAAATATTTTCCCCTATTTTGTTCTTAATTTCGTTAAGCAGGTTGAAATTGTTTAAAAAATAATTGGAAATTTACTAGTTGTATGCATTTTCACCCCTTCTTAAATTTTGACTATGAGGATATAATATTTTAGCAATAACCATCAATATTGATTCAGCAAATATGTAAATATTATTTGATTGAAATAAACATGACCTCTTATACAGTGTGACATTTAATTGAGAATTAAGATACATTCTATTTATAAACATGAAATAAAATATGCTACACATATATTCGTGTAAAGCTTACACTGTAAATAATAAAACACGGTCTGATTGATTAGTAAACTATTTCAGTTGTGTGTGAGCTTAAAAAATTGAATAAAACAAAAATTCGCGCCATAAAAACTCAGTACTGCGGGGGTCAAACAAATTACGAGCATGATGGAGGTAAAACATTTGCTTGAATTAAACGGTTGGCTGAAAATTAATAAATAAGAGCTGACTATGCACACACCGGTAACACCTAATTTTCAGCTCTGTATTCTAAAATTGTGGCAAAATAAAAAACAAGAAAACTATTCATCTCCAAGAAGTGAGTGCTATACTATTCGAGAATAGTGAAATAGTGTTTAAATAGTCAATAATCCAAGTTTAAACCACTTAGACTTTCTCGGAATACATACTTTTTGCATAATTCTAGGCAATTGGTTCATTTTTATCTTAACCGACGATCTCAACGGTTGCGTTTGAGCCGTTTCCTCTCCGGTCCATGGTTTGACGATTTTGCACGCCTGTACCACCTGTTGGATGTATTTCACCGTCTCCGCGTTTTCCCGACTTCTGCTGGGAGTCCAATGCCTGCCGTTGTTGGCAACCGGCGAAGGACCAGTTCTTATCGATCTACGTCCACTAAGGACAGCCAAAGTTCTGTTGAATTCCAACTGAGTAAGAGGAATACAAGTTTCGCCACTACTGTACTCGTATTGCGTGCTACTCGATGCTGCAGCTCCTCGAACGTTCATGATTATTTCATAACACTTTAAAGTTGTGGTCCATGAACTGTCATAACGTTGTAGCCAATCTAAAATATAAATTTAAATGATTTTGTGAAAAGCGAAAATCTTCAAGTTAGTTTGAAATCTGATATTTGTTCGATGTCGTTAACGCGATAATACAATTACATAGCTAACAATACTAAAGATTAGAAAGCTATCGTATATATTTACAGTTACTTATGCAGTTCAAAGTGGCGTCAACAGTGGATAAATTAAGGGAATAAATTGAAATGATAAAGATTACAAGTGAATATAAAGCATCATTAATGCATGGAGCGAATAAATAATGATGACAAATTAGGATTTATGGAGAGATTGGATTTGGCCGGTTGGCCGGTAAGGTTGAGAAAACTACTAAGATTGTATATATTTTATCATCGGTTAAAATTATCAATAATAAATAATCTTACTTGTAGTTTTTCAATGGCAGTTGCATTTTGAATCTTGAAATTATATCGTACCATTTTTTTCTAACGAATGAAATAACATGATATTGAACAAATTTTTTAACACAATTAGTGTGGTTTAACTTTAAATTTGTTGTTGTTTTGAAAAAAAAAAAGAACACAGTGTTATAATCAAACCCTAGTCTTTGTTTAACGCTGGTAGTTTACACAGTGGCCACTGTAGCTAGGGAGCAATTCCGTCTATATAATGCGCAATAATGGGCTGAGGGGTAAAAGGGGTTATAACTTAAGCCTTACGTGCACACGCTTTTTATGTGAGTAGGTAACAAAATAGGCTTTGCATGAATATCTCAAATTAAGTACTGTAGTGTAATACATCAACACGGTTCAAAACGCGTATCGTGATCCATTTAATATTTACTATCATAAAGGTACTGTATTATACTATAGACATTTTTTTTTAATCTAAACTACTATAGTAGTATGTCTTCTTATGGTAGTCATTGAATGGAGTATCAAATAATATTGGCATAACCAATGGTTTAGTTATAATTAGGTATGCTAATTTCATTGTAGAACTCCATTAACAAATACACAATAGCATGTGTGTAAGTCATTAGAAAATGTCTGGTTGCTGTCCGAGTTAATCACACTCAAGCTGGTCACACGTCAAAGACTATGTTTTACTATAAAAATATGAACAATTATCAATTATAATATAGTTAAACGATATTATAGAAAATTTAGTTTACACAAGTAATATTATGTTTGCTTTTTTACTAAATTTTGAATGATTTTAAATAATTAAAACTGGTCTTATATTATTTTATATAAAATAAACAACTACAATTTATAAAGATCAGTAAATAATATTTTTATTTAAGTAAAAGTAGCTCGAAGCAAGGTTTTTTAAAAAGTATTATACATAATATTCAGTTGAGTGATTTAGATAGTCAACACAATTTATTCATTTTTAGGCGTCAGGGTGATTTATCTCATTCGTTTCATTCTCAGCTCTTGAAGTTTGCGGTTTTTAACAAATCCTTTTCGGATGCAGTTCATAACGCCTTACTTATTTTACTACTATAGTCTATAATACTATCCACAGACATTAATCTGCTTCCACTGTAGAATGAAATACAACTGTTTTTTTTTTTGTACGCAGTTGCGTTTATAACCAAATTAAATGCGTTTTTCTATTTTGCTTAAATCTTAAAATTATTGAATATATTATTTGTTGTTTTACTTATAACTTATACTATTAGATCTATGATGAATTATTTATTGAGAGGTAGCAGGGATATAAAGTAGATATAGTATGGAGTATGCATTTTTTTCTCTGATTTTTAGTTAAAGCTTGAAACTTAAATTATTATAAATGAGTAAATTTAGATTTTTATACAAACAATACTACTATATCTTTTAAATAATAATAATTTAATAATTGGCTTCTATACCGACATGTTTTAAATAAACATCGAATAATTATTTTGAACCAACACAAATGTTTCTTTGGTACATAATATGAGTGGTCACGATGTTAGTTTTTGACCTGGAAATTGTCTGTAACGTTTATGCACTTAGCTTACTCTTTATACTCGAAGATAAAGCAAGGTGTATAAAAACAATTGTTTAAGGAACGATGTGAAAATGACATGCAGTTGTAAAACGATAACAAGCGCACAATGTTCTCGATAATATGCTCAATCGTATAGTGACTGTTGTTTTAAACATTTTTACTGTTTTATCCAAAAACAACTAATCGCTGAGAATCGTTTTTGTATTAATTCGTCTATTGTTACTACAACATTATTAGAAAATATTGACAAAGTTGTTGAAAAAACTCTCTGAAACGTTAACTAATTATTATAAATGTAATTAAATCTGTGACCCAATAGCCTCAGATGCTGCGGGTATTAATAATAATAAAAATAAATAAATATTGTAAGAGATTGGGCAGTGGTCTACTCTGAGTGGAATTGTACATCATTAACATTTCTTACAACCATAACAATAACAATATTATATCGGTTTCGTTCAGATTGATGGGCCGTTTAGCAACTGTTGAACAGATCACATCCGTCATTACATTAGCATTTACTACTGCACGACTCACGTTTCTTAAGTACATACTCGACTACTGCTATATCCGGCTTGTGTTTTTTTTTGTGGCCGTCAGATAATACAATATGTTTCTACGTTATTGTTATTATTGATCAGAATATAATAATATGTTTAACGTGTTATTTGAGTGATGGGACGTGTTTGATTTAAACGAAGAACAGAATAATAGTCGTAACTGGGTTATCGGATATTGTAAAGAAAGAGAAACGGGATAAAGAGCGATTACAAAACAGAGTTTGGCGACAAATAATTTATTATAAATAAATACGGAAAAAATAAATTAATATTTACAAATCAAACACACACTTTGGGCTTGCAGGCACGAGTCAGCGCCGTTCTAACTTCACAGAGTATAATATAAATATAAATAAATAGTAATAAATAGTTTGCACGATTCAAGCTGCGAAGATCAGCGTCGAGAATGTCCAAATATATAGATTTACTCCGGTTATATCGTACTCGGCAGTCGAAAATAAATAAATTAACAATGTAACATTATATTAGTATTTTTTTTTTTCATAATAATAAATAGCTGCGCATCTGGCGTTGTCATTTCTCGGTGGTGTGGTCGTCTTCGGCCGTTGGTATGTAAGCTCTGTACGCCACCCAATGTGGTTCGTGCACCATGGCCGCCTTTCTGCCCCATCCGGCGCTGTGACTGTTCACTCCTCCCCAGCCGCTGGCCGCTCCGGCACCTGGAAATTGTTTTTAGAAGAAAATTAAAAAAATCCCATCAAAACATACCGTTAAGTAGATAACTATTCTAATCGCTCTGTATTAATGTACCGGACGAATACGAGTCGGCTGCTCCGCCGCCGTAAGTGTTGTCTCCTCCACCGAGATGACTTCCCGCCGAGTAACTGTCAGCTCCCCCGCCGGTCGACCATCCTGTCGCCGTGTGACCCGACACCCATCCGGCCGCGGTACCGGCACCGTATTCCGCGCCTGCACCGTGGTTATCGTGCACAATGATCACTTCTTTGCCTGAAGAACGATATTGAATTCTAATTTCATTTTGTTTCGTCTCCTTTAAAGTACACAAAAAGAAGACCCCTTCTACGGCCGCTATAGGAACTTTATATTTTCCCATCTACGGCCACTTCGTGCTATGATCAAATTTAGGATTGAGTATAGATGGCCGTAGGGCGTAACAGCTCTACTCGCCGTAGACGGGGTCTCCTCCCCTGGCAGTACTTAACCGTGCAAATGTAGGCATAATAATAGGTATGTGATACTAACCGGCCGAGCCGCCGCCGCTCTTTTTGCCCTTCATCATGCTTCCCAGACTGAGCAAAAGCGCCAATTTGCTGAGCAACAGCGCTTTGATGGCTTTCACCTTGATCAGCAACATCATCAACGGACCCATGAGCGCCATCTTGGCCATCAAACCCATCATTAACATTTGCATCATCTTCTTGTGCTGCTTCTTTTTTCCCCGGCCTGGTTTCGGAACGATAATTCAATGTAACAATAATAATTGTGGCAAATAAAATACAACAACAATAATACTATGCGCCCTACCCAAACATATAACGAACTGGCATAAATCGCGGAGTCGGTCGGCGATTACCAATTAAACGAACCGAAAAGTAGAAGTAATTCGTGCGGTACAGGTTTTCACATGATAATAATCCGAATCTAATTGCCCTTCTTATAAAAGTGAGTATCTTCCATTGTGGTGTATGGACACTGTGGTACCGATTTTTCCGCCGGTGCACGGCATAGTGGACTTAAACGGCTTTTCTTCCCATAATCGCACCGGATTAGAATAACAACACAAACACGGTGTGCGCGTATCGCGTTGCAGGTGTATAACACCGACGGGAGTCGATTCGTTAGGGCGAGGTTTACCCGGAAAACAAAACCCAAGGCCCCGATCAAACAGAAGTCGAAAATGATCATTACTGTTTGATGATAATTTATGTGACCGGTGGCCTGTAAAAGTCGCATTCAGGTCAGGTACCACGGACGCCGATGCGTAATTGCTTTATAATAAGGAAACGTTATGGAAAAATATACAATGCGTCCGAAAGGCTTCGGCGAGGCCACTATTATAGTAATATTATCACCCATATTATTTTCTTATAACAATTTTCGACTTTCACACTCTTTTTCACGGTGAAAAACGAAATCGCCGCCGACGCGTTATTACGATATGTTTATTTAACGAGGGATTTTTTTTATAATTGGAAAGCGAAAAACGCGTCGCCTGACCGTCATCGGTCACACACTGTTACCTTCTCCCAGGGCTCTGGACAAGTTGATGTCCAACGTGTTGCCGGGCATGGCGCGACCTTTGCCTTTGAGCGCCGCAGTGATCCCGGCCGGTAGCGCTATCCGGAGTACGTGGTTGCCGATGAACCGATCCATCGTGTGCTCCATCAGGGCCGACACGGCGCTCTGTTCGTCAACGTTGTTCAACCTGGCCATCAGGTCGGTCTCGTTGAGCGGTGGCTTTATGTCGCGCTTGATTCTGACCACCGACAGGATGTCGCCCAAAACGCTGAATCCTGCACAACATTAAACCACTATAATGATAATAATATAAATATATTGGGAACACTGCTGTACAACTGCAGCTGTACTACAACGATAATAGCAATAATAACTTTAGCGACAAATCGTTTGTTCTTAGTGCATCGATTTTACGGACGGCAAATTGCAATGATCTAAATAATAATAATAATAATAATATACAATACAATCAATCCGAGTGGCGACAATTAAAGATCATCTATATAGATATCGTCGCGGTACCGATTGCGTGCCACTCGCAGCAGGAGAAAATATCCAATCGACCTACAGAGGACGGTCGTCGCTTATGAAAAATTATTGTGTTAATACCATGTCCTACTGCAGGCGATTCGACACGGCGATTTAATTAAATTAGTCTGTATATTGTTGTTAGGTACTTTTTTTTGTCATTATTTTTTTTAGCGCTTCTTCTTGTCATATTTTTCTTTATTATAACTTTTTTTTTGTTATTCTACCTGTCAATAACGTTCAGTTTTGTGTGTACACGTATTTTTTTTTATATATTATAAAAAATAAGTTTACCTAATAATCAAATTATTATTATCATATTATATTTTTATTCAAGCGAAAAACAAAAAAAAACCGAGGATCGTGTTGAGAGGTCGGTGAAAAAAATTCAAAACGTGTAAGTAATGTAAAAATGCAACGCCGTTTGACGTTAAAAAAAACTATACTTTTATAAAATTTAAATTTATCACATGTCTTTGAAATCCGTTGAGTCAAGAAATAAATACGGCTCTACAAATGGGTGTCAAGTACACAATAATAACTGAGTTGGCGCAATATTTTGTAGACTTCGGATGGATCGATTTCACCCCACTTTAAATTACGACTAAAACTTGTATAGAGTTTGTTTATATTATTACAGTACTTGCAAATACACCAATCAGCAAACAAGACAAATTGTAAACATAAGTGTGTCTATTAGTTTTATAAGTAATGTAAAGACTTTCAAATTTTATTAAAATACAGTTTGAACAGCTTTGCTCTCCCATCTCTCTGGGGTTAGGTTGGGTTTGTTAAGTTAATTTCATAAAACGATTATTTAAATTAGTTACTATGTTTTAGTATTTTTTTTTTTTTTTAGTTGATATTTGATATTTTTTATTCAGTGCTGGTAATATTTTCGAAGACTGTATTTTGCAAATAGATCTTTGGGAACGTTCTGTCTACTAACTAAACAGGCTTTAAAATAATTGGCTTGCTGGGACCTAAAATCCCAAGTGCGAGTGATCGAGGGGCACATGTTCTGCTCATTGTTGCACTGTACTTAACTAATACAAACTAAGGCATCGTTTAGGTCAGGTTAAGTTCGCGTATAAACATTAACCTCGTCCTTGATATGGGGAATATCTTAGGATGCTCCGTACTCGTTCATATTTATAATTGTAATTTAAATACGCTCTTATCGTTTTGGTTAAATGTCCTAAGCAAACACCGCTGTTTTATAGACTCGGTGCCAAAATCAACGCTTATAGCGATCGTCGAGACGCGGTTTGGAATGAAAACCGCTGCGAAAGCGTTCGACGTTTGAATGTTTGTAATTGTCTTAACACGGTCAATAACTTATTTCAATAGCAACACGGGGTGAAATCGACTAGACACTAGTAGAGTGACGTGGGACGATGGTTGGGCGAGACCAGTCATCGTTGTCACCGGAGAATTTGCAAATTTGGGCCGCCCGAAGGTGTACTTGAATGGTTTTATGCGGGAATAGAAGTATAAAAAAAAAATCATGCGGTTACAATGTGTTTCGTTCAAGTACACACACACACATAAGTGTACGTTAACGTTGGCATGTGAGAATGGTCAAACAGGAGTAACACAATAGAGCGTATAGCACTATTCTCCCGTGACCTATATTAATGGTTGTATAAACAAGCGGCGGCGAAGAAGAAGATGATGATGATGATAGTTATAATAACGCACAAATGAACGGCAAACGGTCGTAGGCGTCTGGCCGATATAAATATGAAAATTATAATAATAATAATAATATATAGAGATATAAAGTGATACAATAAAATAATGGTAATAGTGATACATGTGGACTGATGAGGTAGGTACTATAGTATTTTTTTTTTTATCTGTCCGCGGATGTGGGTTACCGAGTTTTTCTTTCGCCAAGATGTTTCGTCCCAAGTGCCAGCAGGGCGTCCGCGCTAAAAAGAGACCGTCTCGAATGCCGGCCGACATTGTCAGTATCGTCAACAACAATAATGATAATTGTCAAAAATATTTAACTCTGCCGCAAAAGCAAACACCGGACAATCGGTCTGTGACGGTCTTTAGTATTCAGGACGACCGGCTATAGTTTTTCCGGACGTGAAAATTAGCAGACCGGTATTTAAAACCAAACAAAAAACAAAAAAAACTGTCTAATGCAATAATTGAATTCGAGTAATCGTGTCCGGTATGGACAAACTAGAGCTAGCAAAGCTACTTATTGTCGTCGTTTCCTTGTGTTTGGCCAGTGTCTAATTGATGGAAAATCTGCTGGAGAGAGGAACACGGCGGTTGTTGCTCGGGTCGATGGATTGAAGAAGATACTTAGAACCCATTAACGGCGCAAACGGGTTTTCTTTTAGAAAAGAAGAGTAAAGACGTTTTGCGCGCATTCACTTGTTGATTATTAAATTAAACGCAGAAAATCGTTGTGGAAACTACTTGTTTTTACTTGTAATTGGGAAATCGTCATTTCGAGCGCCGCGAAGGCACGTTTCTACTCCTGGCCACTTATCTGGGTATAGGTACTTAGGGTTGGACGTTATGTTTCGGGGAAATTTAATACCGAAGAAGATACCGCGAGCACGTCAGGTTAATTGCATCGGGTGGCCTATCTAATCGTTATCAAATGGAAACCATAACGATAATAATTTGTGTAAGTATTTAAAGAGCAAATTATTTTGCCCGAAAGTATGGAATCGGGCGACGGTTTTTATTTTGGGGACTCGCCTGAAAATGAAAACCAAGGTCGATTTCACTGGGTGTACTATTCTTGTTAGTTTTCTTCTTGGCGTTTGACACGGGAACTCGACTACCAGCCACCGATTGTTTGAATATCGAATTGGCCATTGTGTTTGGCGATCACAGAAATACATTGAATTCGCACCGGAAAGTAGGTGTCGACCGGACCCTCTGTACAAATGATATTAAATTGTTTGTCCGGGTTACACAATATTCCAACGCATTTTTTTTTACTTCTCGAATAAAAATAAAAAAATAATATAAGTATAACAAAAACCTTTAAGGTCTGGCGATGAATAATAGTAACATGATAATATTGTTTTGATCGTAGAAGAACAATGTGGAACGAACACGTTACAAATTGCAAAATATTAGTTTGATTCAATTATATTTCACGTTAGCTAAATTATTAGCCGAGTAATTTTCAATGCGTCGCGTTTGCCACTATATTATTATGATGACTTTCTATTTTTTTTTTCTTTTTGAAACACAAATAGATAAAGAAGTACGTTTAACAACAAACACACAATTGGAACTGGATGCGTGGATTTTCTGATCCGTCACAGATTAAACGTTTATAGAATTTATCAACCGTTTGACTGCAATATTTTATCAATGATGGTACGTTTCACTCGGCTTATTATATATCTATAAAAAATATATTATACTATATTTTTATGTTTGTCCATAGTTTGTCACGTCCGTGTGTTTTCGCGATGACACTATAATGGTAGGCACATTTTCCCTGTTTTCCTATTATTCCACGTTGAAAGAATGAAAAACTAGTTTCTATAAGAAATGTAAACTCAAACGTAGGACGTGAAAAAATACATACGAATATGCCTTTCCCAGTATAATACTAGTAGTGCTAGAAAACATAATTTTTTGTCTATTTGACATGCTGTTGTCGGTGTCAGTGATATCCGAATATATTTTTGAACGGTACAATACGCTATGCACAGAAATGATTGGGTGAATCCCAAATATCTATCGTAAACACTTGTCTATTCATGTCGATTTTGATGTAGGTACATACTGTAATCACAATAATAATAATAACAACAATAACATAAAGAAAAGTAACACTATCCAAAATGAAATACCAATTTGAAAATGATATAGATTTCTAAATAGCAAATTACTATTAACACCAAACAACTGGGTTGTGTGTAACTTTCTTTTGATTTATGAAAAGTACATCATCAATAACTGCATTCGAAAATTCATAAAACGCGAATAGTAGTATTTATTATAAAAAAAATGTTTTTCGAGAATTACATTTTTTTTTCATTTTTTAAAAGCATGATAAATTTGTGCGATTATGTTTTATCAATGTTTTATGTTCACTTGTATTGTAATAAGTATAGGGCTTAGCACAAAAGCAATAGTGGTCATTTGAATTTTAAAGTGAACCGAGCAATGTTTTTGAGTCTCGCATTCATTGAATAGTACTACACTTTTGTGAAGTATGATAAATAAAATAATAATTGTTACTCAACTAAAATATAGATACCCAGAATGTATTTGATCTTTTTAATAATAATTATTCACAATAAAAAAACGAGCTTTTAATAGCTCTTATACTCCGTTGCACAATATATTGTGGTAAAGCATAGGTTATTTCTCTATAATTTAATAGACTTTTACTGCAATATATTTCAGTACTGAGTAGTGTTATTAATACTTCAAACGGTTAAGCAAAACAGAACCTTTTAAAATACAATTTTTTTTTGATTAAACTTATTTAATTTTAATTGTATATTTTTAACGTCGAAAGAAAATGTTTAATTGAGTAACATACTTAAAACAATTGCCCTAGTGTTTCTTATTTATTTTTAATTTCAGTTTAATAGATTATTTACTTTGAAAAATCTTACTTGTAATACAAGTCTTAAGGATTTTTTTTTTTTTGAAAGATGTAGGAAAAAATATACTCAAACTATTATAGATAAATAAAAAGTACAGTAAAAAAAAATAAAAATAAAATTCCGATAGCTTTTTAATTAATGTCATAAAAAGCGATTAAAAAGGTCTTTAAATTACTATAAAATCAGCAACATAGTTCAGTTAATGTTTGATTGATATAAATAAAGTACTCAAAACACAACATTATCCTTTTAGTGATGGCAGATGTGTTTTGAATCGTTTTAATTAAAGTATTATACCGAATGTGTGTGGTAAATGCTATCTTTTTAAGACATTTAAATACAAACAACCTGAGTTAAGTGTCAACCACTGTTGTGAAATCAAATCAACTGATTAATGTTATGTTGACTACACATTATTATTTATACACTTGCTCTTTTATTTTTTTGGGGGGTTAATAGAAAATAATCCCAATAACTATGTCCAAATAGAACAAAAATCAAATGCGGTTTACCGCGTACTGGAAGCCCGGTCGGGGGGACCTAGAAATTAAAATAAATATATCTGGCTACAATATATAAGAACCCGACCGTTTAGCCATCCTAACTCAACCCGATTATCTGCAAACGTGTTTTTATCATAATAACAATAACAAGTTTTACGATTTAACATTTTTTTTTTTTTACTTTCACGCGTGTACGTTCATTTTTGGGTGTGTTTATTTTTTTTTTTTTAAATTAACTAGGCTTGACTATTATTACGGCTGCACTGTAACAAATCGTTAACGCCGCTCCAAGTCGATCGGGCATAGACAATTGGCCGGAAAAACAAACGTCGTTTACTTAAAGCGGCATTTTTTCGTGGGTTCTCGGCAAAACCCGGTCGGTTCGAAAAACTAAAGGACGGATTTCACGGGAGCCCGTAATTTGGCCGCATGTAAATCTGTATTTTCACGGTATAACACGCCTATAGCAATAGATCTAGATCGACTACCACAAGCTGTGCGTGTGTCATTGTAAGGTAACGTTCCACGAATATGAATTATACTGATCTATTATGGTCTCGGCGAAAACGGCAAGGTAGTTTTTTGGATCCACCGGGTTTGCACAAACGGCACAATATCCGAGTACACCGTAAACATGGTACCATATTATAGTAATGCACTACCAATGGTGCATTGCGCACCATTTATACGTACAATTAAATAAATCGTAGGTAAACCGTATGTCCGTGTATTGGTAAAAAAAACCTTGGTGTACAATCTTTTAAAATTATCACATACAAAGATGTAAAAAAAAAATTTTAAATGGCCCAAATTAGTGATAGTGATTTTTTTTTTTTTATCATTTGTTACACTGAATTCAAATTTGGTTCGTTGATTTCAGTATACACTAGTATAGATGCGATTTACTTCCTAAAATAATTCTAAAAAGGGATGGAAAAAAGACTTATGTGTTCTTGTCGTGCTCGATCTTACCTTTCATCCTGCCCAGTTTGTCGAGGAACAACAACAGCTTGCGTTGAACGCACGGGAACGACAGCTGGAACAGGCAGTCCGTGTAGATGCCTACCAGGTGGGCGCCCGGATCGCTGGCCGTGTCGTCCTGTTTTTCTTGCAGAGTATTGGCGTCCCCGGAACCAGGCGCGAAGCTCAGGAACCTCGAGTCCCTGTCGGTCGAGCTGCTGTTGAATACCGTGATGGTGGCCGGAAGTCCGGCCGTGTCGTTGTTGACGATACCATCGGCACTTCCGCTGTCGTTGATGCCGTCGTTGGAGGGCAATACTATGTTGATGTTGTTGCCGTTGTTGTTGTTGTTGGTGTTGACGGGATCGCCGGCGGACACGCACCACGCAAACGCCACCGCGGTTAGAAAACACGACGCCGCGGACAACGCCATAATATGTTGGACGGAAGGAAAACTCAAAGAACGCGGGTGCGGAAAACGAGTGTTATCAGAGAAGAACCACGATGGACCAGGCACCTGTCCGTTTTATACGGCGTCCACCGCCGTCGACGCCTACCACCGCTCGCGAATCTCCTTCCACCACCGCCGTCGCGCCGCGGTCTCCCGACAGTGCCCGGTTCAGGTATTTCCTAGATCAACCGGTGGTGGTGCCCAAGAGGTCGTTTCCGTCTGAAAATGTTACACTTGAAACTGTTTAGGGCACATATCAAAGTCATCAGCTAGACTGCACGGCAATTAACACATTCCAAACAAATATACATGTTAAGAACATTATTGCCGGGTTGCACCAAATATTTACCCAGAGATAAACTAGTTTAACTGGGGTTCAAATTAACTCTGTTGCATACACCATGTTTTAAATTTTACAAGTTGTTAAAAATGTACTTTACGAGTTAAATTACAGGGTCATTTATCGCTGTGTAAAAAACCCTATGTGATAATAATATTAACTCCTACTGCTGATACCATTTTAATCGATTGAGCGACACTCGTTAATTTAACAAAAGATAAAGTTTAACAAAAGTTAATTTATTACGGTGGTAAATAATTTACCAATAGATAACGACATGTTTGGTGCAACCGGACATAAGTGAACTAAACCAACAAATTATAAAAGGAGTACTCGGGATATCGATTTCAAAAATTAATTTACATCAGTTTGTTCAAATAAAATATTTTAGTTAAAGCAAATTAACATTTAATTTTTTTATTTATTGTTATAAGCCGATTGTCATGGGGTGCAAAATGTCCATTTATATAACTGTGATTATGAGATAAAATCATTCCAGTTAAGTTCCTTTCCAATAATAGTTTACGTTGAATAGTTTTGACAATAGGCGTGATAAATTTGCTTAAAAAGTTTATTCTAATTAGTAAATAACAGAACCCTTTTCCAACAAGAAATACAACAGAATATATAACCACAAAAAGTTGCTAGGGGCTTTATAAGTAAACTTACGCTTTAAATTAGAATAGTATAAGAGGTTCAGGATTTCTCTGGACAATTTTTTTTCCCTATAAACGTTTACATTATTTATTCTTTTACAATCTCATTCCACCTTTAATGCCAAAACTTTCATCTTATTTTACTAATCGTTTAGACTACTCTTACATTATTAAATGCTCAACTAGTATTTGTTAAAAGCGAATATGTCTTTTAATTTGGACTCATAATGCGGTTTATTATTTTAATCGTCAATCTAGATCTTGTAATCGTATAAGTTAAATATTATACATTATGCACATAAGCAACGCATGTGAAGTAGAACTCTTTTGTAGTTGACTTTTGGAAAAATAGGATCAGACTAGCTAAAGAAAATGAATCATACCGCTGCGTTAATTGCCTCAATGTATTTGTTTAATTTATTATAACCCAAGTATTGTTTAAAATTTAATTACTCTTTCACGTTTTCATTGTAACAATGAATTCGAGAATTCATCAAAATCAAAGGTGTTAGAGTGTTTTCTTGTGTCTTTTTTTCAACAAACACACGTATCCATTCGCATTTGTAAAACGTGATACAGATTTAATATTATTATCATTATGAATAAATCAACACTTGCCGGGTGACAAAGGTGAAAGTAGGTTGTACAAATTTGAACAAGAGATGTAATACAAAGAACTTAACGATCCATGGTTTTGTTGCACCCTATGATCGATTGTTGGCGATTGGCTACTGTACATTGTATTCGCCATTCGACAAGATAATTATATTGACATTCACTAACTGTAATGTGACGTGACTATGGGTTAACTTAGGTATCAATGATGGTTTCTACAATTAGTCACTGTTATTAAACGCAGGATTGTTGTTGTTGGCCATCCAACCATAGATTGGTAAAAAAAGTTCTATGGAATTTTAACGAAATTCTAACGAAGGTCACACTCCCCATCTATAATACTATAACATAATAATATTATGTTTATTATTATTTGCATTACATTGTTAAGAAATTACTTCTTCCCATTTTATTAACACTTTGTCGCCACTTAGGTGTGCTATTAAAATAATATTTCAAGATAGGACCATCGCACAAAATGTGCTGATGACCACTTATTTTGGTCACTGATTTGCATTGTTAAGAAATCATCAAATATTGGTAACATATTAATACATTTTTGCGATATGACATTATCTCGATAAAAATAGGTAAATTGTTAATATGTTAAATAAAGACTGTCGTGAGTACAAATAAAAACAAATATACCATACATATTAATTATAAAGTTGGTAAAAATACCAAACCCAGCTAATATTAGTGCATGTTGTTCATCTATAGACTATAATAAAATAAATTATGTTCATTACGCCACTCTTGTAGAGTGTTCTCATTAGACCGAATTCGTCTCATCAAAAACAATCAAGACGAAAATATAATATTTGACTATGTCTAGAATTTGTTTAACGATTATTACTTAGAGGTATAGACTACGTAGAGAAGTACTGCAGGTGTAAATTTTACAACCTTCCACGTCTGACTTAGACAGTTATTTCCTTATCCAGACATCGGAAGCCGTCAAACAGTTAGATCATGTCTGATTATGCACGGATAGAAATACCAATATTGTATAAAGATACATATGATGTTGTATTATTATTTGGTCCACTCGGTGTAACACTATCCGTATGCGGACCACGGTCGATCACTGCAATTATATTCTGTTTTCTTACACAAAGTAATCCGGTTATAAAATTGTTTTCCATTTGACTAGGCTTTTCCGAAAAGAAACCCCGCATCTTCGGTAAATCCCGTTCATAAATGTTGTACATATCGTGAGTACTCCACCAGTCGAGTAATAAAAAGTCTATCAACTAGACTTACCAGACGTATTAAAGTGAGCGGTATAAATAAAATGTTATTAAAGTGAGCACTCGTTGATTTGAAATGCTGTAGTATAGTAACAATATCTTAACATATTATTATAATAATTATAAAATAACTAGGTATCGCCCGTTATAAGCCCTACCGTTCGCTAAAATCCCATTTAAATAACAATAAAAAAAAAATTACAATAGGTGCGTTTAATAACACGGTTGTCTGCTTATGGTATTCCAGCGTGTAGTCTTATATGCATGCATAAGTTCAGACGACAATAGACATGTTGGAATTGGAGGATTTAAAATGTGGGTTATGAGCGCGTCGTATCTACATAGTAAGTTAAGTATATAATATTATGCTTCAACCGGTGTGACCATGCACAATATTGTATTTTCATTTTAAACCGATGCGCCAAAATTGTTGTACTGCTTCTCTTTTATACTGTCATTTTCCCCCCAAAGCATTCATTGTTTAACCGCTAAATAGGTACTAAGAAAAAATCCGTACGGTGTTATCAACATGTTTTATGTACCAAAGTTTAGCTTGGATGTAAACCCGAGACACCCGAGGACGTCCACTGATTTGTTAGGAGCAAGTACGTGTATTTAAATTCACAGTATTATTGCAATGCACATTTGATTGCAATTGATTTGTATTTGCCCATTAGAGACGCTCTGTGGGGCTTGTCATAAAATCTCTGAAATTGGGTTTCGATATAGATAAACATTAAATTATTTTTTTTATTTAGGTACTGCAATTGAACAAGTTGATCTTATTACGGAGGTATCCTTTTTTTTTGTATAGTCAGAAAACTAGTTTGTCTTTCATGAGTGATCAACGATGGTCAACCAAAAATCATTATCCTACAGCAAACCAAATTTATGTTGATTTTCTCGTTTTCATAGATCGAAACAATAATAATAGACTTCAAATGAAACTATTTTTAAAGTACGCTTAAGATAATAGTTATTCTATGAAATGATTTATTTCTTTATATATCACCTATTTGTTCGAAAAAAGAAGACCTTCACCTAATAATAAACAACCGTATCACATTAAAACGGAAATTAGATTTCTCTCGTTGACACTAGAATTTCTCGCCTAGTACAATACACATATAAAGTATATTTTATTATTTTATTGGAAAACAAAAGTAAAGTAGTTACATTTCATTTTAAAACAGCTGTCAAGTATTGTACCACGAAACCACTGCAGTTATTATTAAAAACGTTTGAGACGTATTTGAAAACTAATATCATTATATTCTTACAAAACACTGTGTGCCAAACTAATAGAGTAAAATAAGTACATACTTTAGTTTCGATGTGTTGGTTTTACAATTATTTCTATGCTTTTTTTAATTATTATTTTGGTCATTGAAACTATGATAGAGTTTGTAAAATTCTCTGTTGAATTGTGAATCCATTTAATTTTATATTTATGCACAACAATAAAACAATTTGAAAATTGATTTTATTTGATAAAAGTATCATTATTTGAAAGAAATTAACTGCTATTGATGTAAGAACTTTGTTTTTTTTTTATATAAGCTTTTTTGTTATACTGTTAGAATACAAATATATACAATATGAGTACAACAATCATTTTTTTTTTAATTATAAGTAAACATTAAATCAACTTTTAGTTTAATTTTCAGACTTATTATGCAAACACTGCGCTAAAAAAAGCAAAGTAAAAAAAAAAACAACCCCTAATAATATGTTTTTGAAAATTTAGTGGTATACCTGAAAGAACACTACAGAAAAATTTGAATCTGTATCGTCTTTTTTAATGGTTAGTTATAGCGTTATGTATTGTAAAATTAGAAAAATTCTTACAGAGTAAAATCAATTCTCGATTTTCAAGAGGAGAGCTTAATTTTTCTACGTTTGATAGTGATGCACTTTTGCATTTTTAGTTTACGATTTTTATAGGTTATATAAATTAAAATACGGTCACGTGGCTCTTTGGCCCATGTCCCAGCACTAAAAATAAATATATCGTTGTAAACCAATATTTTCTGATTTGACAGTTTTGCATCCAAGCAAAAATAAATTTATTTATTCCCATGAAATTTGTTTGAAAACAAAGTGATTTCCAATCGTTTCTAATAAATGCGATGACATCTTTTTTTCAAAGTCATTATACGGACTTTAAATAGTTAGCACCAATTTTATTTGTTTCACC